GATTTGAATTTATGAACTGATATTGTAGTCAAATAACAGTTAATAAATTAAAATCAAGTAACAAGTGTATCATTGGAATTAGAAGCAAAGCGCAAATTTTTTACTAAAAAACTCCTTCAAATAATTTTCTACTAAAAAAACTTCCGAAACAGTTTATAAATTTGTTATTGATAAATTAATGTGTCTACTTTCGAACCGTTGAATAAATCTCATCTAATCGATAACTAATTTGTTAACTGTTTCGGGGATAAAATCTTATGTGCTTGATGGTTGAAAGTGAAATTTTTAATCGTCCGTGACAGTTATTTAAAGGAGTTTTTTGCATTCAAAGACTTGTTGAACGTGGATCCGCATCGAAAGACCTCGAAAAATGCAAGAAAAAATTGCGCACTTTTAGTGTAGGCTGCAGTTTTATTTTAGTTTGTTTAATTTTTTTACAGATTGCAAGTTTAAATAATTTTTACAATATCAAAATAAAAGTTATTATTTTTCATTTTTTTTCTTCTTTATAAATTAATATGTTTACTTTCGCTCATGCGTATGCCTGGCGTATAAGCACCATGTAATGTAAACGTAAAAATATTTACTAATGTAATAAAATATCTTGAGATACTTAAGTACAGTGAATCTGTCTATCTTTGGTCACTTAGTTGTATTTTCAGGTCATTATTGAGAACTATATAAATAAGAAATGGATGAACTAACTCACTAATTGTTGCTAGCTACAATTCTCGAAAAAAAAAGCGGAATTCTGTGGTCATGATCTTTTTCTGCTGGTCATGATTTCTTTCTAAAATCCACTTTTTCATACATTTTTTTCTCTTACCTCGCATTAAAGTATTTTCGCGAATTGAATTTTTTATTCTATAAAATTTCGTAGTCAAAAATAGTTGCAAATTGAAGAAGTTTTATTGAGATCTTTGGCAAAATAATCGATTAATAAAAAATCAGAATTTTTTGAGTTCACTTTTGTGGATCATTAATGTGGTCTTAGTTTAATTCTTCAGTTTACTCACCATCAAGTTTGCAATTTTCATTTTTTAATAATTTGTTGTTTCAGAGAGTCTGTGGAGTGCTTCACTTTTTATCAAATATTCGGCTACATTTCTTAAAGACTTCAATTGATAAATAAGTAGGAAGATTAAAGAAAACCATTCTGACGCCTTTTTCTGATTCTTATCTACCAAAATTGTATATGGCTTCAATGAGATAATTATTTTAATTGGTTCGGAAGCTTAAGAGTAGGAGATTTCTGTTGGCTGAGTAAAAGACAATTATTAGACTAAGGTAGCATTATCTTTCCTCGTGATGAATTCGTGAAATTACTTGAGACTACTGGTTGCAGTAGTAGTAAGAAGTGTTCCATTTGCTTATCTCAGATAATTTCTTTTTCCTCTCTAGAATGTTACTTCATCTTATGTTTTCGCATTAATTAATAATGCAAATTTAATGCAGGTGATAAATTTCGCTGCATAGGGATGTGAAATCACTGCAAAATCTTTCTGCAATTATAGATATTTTATCTCTTTCTGATTCTCTGTTGTTTTCACGCAAGAATCAGAAGATTGAAGTACTATAGCTATCATTATCTGGTTTCTGCATCCTTTATTATCTTCCTTTCATTGCAAATTTTCTGCACAATTTGAATTACTCTTACACACTCACTTATCCCTTTCAATTTTTATGCAAAAAAGCATTAAAAAAATCTTGACTCTTTGGAGTTGTTCTTAAATCAGATATGTGCATTTTTAATTTTCTAATTCTCAAATATCATTTCTTTTTCTGCTATAAGTAGTCCCTCTAAAAGTACACGTCTTTTGAAGCTATCTCTTACTTATTCAGCGGGAAGAAAACTGATTACGATCTCGTAGCAACAGGAAAGATGCAATTAGTTTTCTTTTCTTTTCTGTGTTCATAAATGTAATGTCTACGAGACATTGTCAATAGTGGATGTTAATTAATAGAGAGAAGAATATTTCGAACGTGTCATGTGACTTGGAAATTTTCTGAAACTTACCTTGAAAAGTAGTCTTACATTTATTTTAAGGAAACAAAACTACATTTATATTAGGGAGTGCTAAAAGTGCTCAACGACAGTATTGGCTTCTTCTAATAACAATGAAGAATTAAAACTAACAGTAGCCTCTGTTAAATCATTCTTCTAAGCATCAAAAAATTCGACATTCTAAGAAACAAAAACTGATATATTTTTAATTGTAATTGTTAAGCTTTTAAAAAAAGCGATTTGGAACTTTGAGTTACTTGCTGTAGCTGCCTAATCGAACGACCAGTTAACGGTAATTCGGTGCTGCCCTAGTTTGCTGTGAGAATTGGATGGGAATAATTCTTTGATCATAACTATTAATTAGTTACCAGTAATTACATGAGCTATTCGTTTTACTGTACTCATCTACCATTATAACGCTTTAAGATTTGAATTGCTTTATTTGCAGCACTTTCTGGAAGGCGGTTTACTGGATTTGGTGAATCAGATTCAACAACCGAGAATGATTCTAATGATTTTAAGTTGTTACAAGTTGATGGCAATTCGCTTCTTGTTGGTGCCAGGTAAATTTATTCTAGTAATCAACTCATCACTCAATTGAGCTCGATTATCATAGCTTTTACACAACTTTTTCATTGAATGTTTATGGAAATGGCTGAATTTTACAAGCTTATAATATTCTTGCAAATTTTTCCAAAGCGAAAAATTTTAGTTTTCATTTCTGTTTTACAGTAAAAAATCATTTTCAAAATTACCTCTAAATTCATCAAATTTTTAGAATACATGTATGTATTCTTGTAATAACAATGGACAATTAAAACTATGAAACTTTTCATTAAAAAATTTATAGTGCGATATTTTGTGCACATTTTTATTGTAATTTCTGAGAGAGATTGTTAGAAGAATAATAAAAAAGGAGTCAGTTTTTTCGATAGTTTCAAGTAAAGATTTAACATATGTAAGACAAACAAAGTAAGTAGAGGAAGGAATAAATACTTTGGAAGTAGAATACTTTGGAAATCGTAACAGAAAGATAATTACATGTTTGTTATTTACTTTTTTGCCAATCAAAGAGGTCATTACCTTTCGTGACCTTCCCATGAAATTTGCTTAGGGGGATCACGAGCATTTCAAGACTAAGTGGGCTAAAATTTTCACACTCTGCTAAATTTATTGAGAAATTTTTCAGTCAAAATTTGAATGTTTGAGAAAAGAAATGTTAGTGACGGTGTTTTATCAAGTGTTACAAGTGATTACTTGTACAAATCTTGCATTTCATTACTGAAAACGCATGTATTGTCGTGGGCATTAAGAAAGTGAGGGAGTGAATCAGTCTCAATGCAACTGATTGCTTTCTTCATCGTTGTGAGGAATTATTTCACATTGTATTCCTCGTAATTTCTTCAACATTTGCTTTTTATTTAGTGTGAGTTAGGTACTTTCCTAGTAATTACTTTCTTCTGATTCTTGAAACCGAAAAGGATGGGATTCTGCTTTGTGATCTTCATCTTATCGCCTTAACTCGTAACTGCTTTTTTGTTTGATGTGATTGATGGCAAGTGAGTTTGATCGAAACAAATTCAGAATTGCATAAATTTTTTAGGAAGTGACTGCATTGAAGTTTTTCTTTGGACTACTCTATCACTTATATTTATTATCTTCAATTCTGAGCATTAATTTTTCTTAAAAAAAAAGATCGCAAATAGTTATTTTATTGTAAACATTGTAATTCATTGTCTCGTAGTTTTCTTGAGTATCATTTATTTCTTTTGAATAAACTATTTCTGGATACATATATTGCCTATTTATCAGGTGGTTAATAATTTCAAATATTCATGAGAATTTTAGTCAAAGTGAGCAACGATACTGGACTAAGTTCATGCAGTGCATGATAGAATAATAATTTTGCAGATATGAAAAGCGATAAGTCTTATTCCAAGTTGCTTAAGGCAATCTTCTGAATAATTTATTCATTAAAATAGAAGCAAAGCTATAATGAAGCAAATAAAGTATAAAGACATTTACTTGAAATTGCACATTTTTGTCTCATACAAATGGATCGAAGTCTGGAAATATGATTAATAAATACATTAGAATTTCTTTTCAAATTTTGCTTCTGAAATCAGTGACTAGTCTTATGGTACAAAATTGCAATTAGTTAAGTAATTTGGCTGATTTATTTCAGAGACAAAGCATACAACTTGTCAATAGCGAATCTGCAAGTACAGCATGTGGGTTTTGATTTATAACTTTCTTATTTTCTCACTCTGAATTTCAAACTAGTTTTTGAAATCTGAAATAAATGATTTTTTAAATTAATAGAAGAAATTTTTGACTTCCACTCTGTTTTTTTTTGCTTGAAAGAATTCTGAATTTTATTGTTTAAAAAAAATTGCTGATTTGAAGTTAGTAAGCACTGAATAAAGGATCCTTAAACTGTTGATTGAGATCGCAGATTTAAGGGTGTTTGTATAAAAGTTAAGGTGAAGGATATTTGAAACTTTAAAGAAGAACTGTTAATTACGTCAAAAAAAAAACTTGTGGAACCACCGAAAAATCTGTACTTGTTTTCATAAGCTGAAATTGTGTCAAATGTGTCGTTAACGCGGTTTCTTAACATTATTTTCAAAGTTTGATACATCTTTGATATTTTCTCATCAGCCTCACACACAAATCTTCTCCGTATAAGATGCTCATATTGTATTTGAGAATAGCATGTAGAGGTATTACTTATAAGCTAAACCAGCTTGAAAAGAGCGCATAACTTGTAATTCTGTGTTCCAGGTTTTGGAATGGGTACCACCAGGACAAACAATTGAGGATTGTTTAATGAAAGGCAAAAGTCGAGTAAGACTTTTTGAAATGTGTCAAGTGATTAAGAAATATTGTATTTAGTTTATATACAAGTTTTGTTTTGTGAACTTTACATTCTAAAGGTTTACACTGTACTGATTTATTGAGTGTTAAGCTCGATTGCCATAATTATATCCGAGTAATGGTGCGGCAGTCCAACGGTCGTAGCCTTATTTGTGGCACTCACGCATACTCACCAAAGTGCCGAGAATACGCTTATTCAAATGATGATCGAATATTACAACAAAAACGTCAGTTTGATGGGCAGGTAAGTTCTCAAACTGATTTGTTTAAACTTTACATTGAATATTATTTCTCAAACTAAAGACCTTTTTCTACTTTTCATTTCTACGCTGTTACGTAATATTTTGATTCATAGAAATGTCAATTTTTCAGGATCGTTCTTCACGTATTTCAGACTTATATTGCTTATCTGGAAACTCCAGTCCTTCTGTATTTTCAAGAGTTTTTAGGCAATCGCACCATATGATCCGAGGCATAACTCGACTGCGGTCTACATTGCTGATGGGAATGAAATATATACAGGAACTGTGTCAGATTTTGCTGGTAATGACCCACTGATCTATCGTAAAAGGCTATCAGATGGTGAAGGATTGAGAACGCAACGAGACGACTTAAAAGTTTTGGATTGTAAGTGACGGTTCTTAGAATTTGTAACAGGATTTCTGTATCAATTTAGCCTCTGTGACATTGATCAACCTTCCTATTAAAGAATGAATATTTGGAGATTTTTATAGTTTCTTGTTAATTTGTTGTAATAGAGAGTTGTCACACTGATTTTTTGCTACTGATAATAAAATGAAGAAACTGCTTATAATTTAATTAATAATGAATGTGGCAGTATGAATGACTTCTACGAGGGCAATCGTTTGCCGTCATAGGTCATTTTAAATGAAAGTTTTAAGAATAACCAGTGAAACATTAGTGTTTTTTTAATCTTTTACGATGATGATTTTTTAATCTATAAGTTACGAGATTCCACTGAGATACTTCAACACAGGCTTCTAAATTCCAAATAAATCATAATTATAAGCATTTTAATAAATTGTTATAATGCAAATGAAAATTACGATTTTATAAAATGTGTTAGGAAGAAATTTATTATCTCACCTACTTTTTTTTAAACATATGCTTCATATAAAATATTTTTCTCTCTAAACTTTATTTGATTAACAGTTTAATTCTTGCAATTATATCTTTACAGCTCCAAACTTCGTGGCATCATTCGTTTATGGTGAACATGTTTATTTTTGGTACCGTGAATGGGCTGCTGAAGTAACTGATGGCGATCGACAGGTATCAAATTATCGTGCTGAATAGGATTTAATTACACTGATTCGGATAAGGTTTCAAGGAGGTTCACTGAAGCTAAATGAAATAGGCATTTATCTTTCGTCTCATATCCCTTTTTTTCTCTAGTTTTTAACTTTAAAAGTACTGATCGTGAACTGCAGGACCCACTGTTGCCTCCAAAACATGTCCAATTCAACAAACTTACTCTCTCACCTACTCATGCAGATGAACTGTTTATGATGATTGCTTGAAAAGTACTGCAGTAATTTTACTACAAACTTAACTTAATTGAATTTTCTGGTGTATGCTCGAGTCGCTCGAGTTTGCAAGGCCGATCGTGGTGGTGGCCGTCCAGCACATGAACGTTGGACATCTTTTGTAAAAGCCCGATTAAATTGCTCCATTCCAGCGAACACCCCATTTTATTTCAATGAGCTGCGTGAGTTTTGAGTTTCTAATGTTCATGCCCTTACAGATTATTTGAAACTTCTTAGAATATCTCAACATTATTAAATTTAAATTATTCTGATCGTTAATTTTTATTCATAAATATGCTAGCATTTTTAATTTATTCTCCAATGTATTTGCATAAATAATTGAAGTATCTGTAGGGTTACTCTGGATAGCAGCAAAATATTTAATTAGCATATTTAGAATTCAAAAAAAGCTTTTTAAGATTCAAAAAGAGATGATAAAAAAACATTATTTCTGTTCTCATTTTTGCCATACTCTTATTCTCCATAAGAAGTGAAAAAATATTTGATGCTAAAAATTTCTTCTTCGTTATACTTTCACGAGCAGCTAACCACATTATGACTTTAAATAAAACGAATAATACGAAGAAGGGGTGTGGAAAATAACTAACTTTATAAAATTTGTTTTCTTTTGGAAAAAAATTTCAAACTTTTTCAAATTCAGTATGATTTACAATAATGGATTGATCTGATAGATAGTTATAATTCAAATAATGTGTTTATATAAGGAAAATCAATGCAAAGAACAAATAGTGCAGTAATTACTGATAAGTTGAATTGTTGACATTTGTTAAAAAATGCAGTGTAATCAAAATTTCGATTTCAGAAGCTGTCACTGAACCCGTGGCTTCAGTAGATGGTTCCTCTTATGTTTACGCTGTTTTTTCAACTCCTGAAAGTAATGTTCAAATGTCGGCTCTGTGTGCTTTTCGAATGGAAACTATTAAACGAATTTTTGATTATGGACATTTTAAAATTCAGAAAACCGCTCAAAGTCTTTGGTTGCCTTATCAGTCACATGAAAATATGCTCATTCCAAGGCCTGGATCAGTATGATTCTTGAAATTTTTATTTGTACAGAAATAATTGGTCAATGCATTATCTGTTGATTGAATTACCATTTACATAGTCTTAATCGTTCTTTGAGTCTTAGCCAGCAAAAAAGTTTTTATATTTTCTCAATTCTAGTTCCAGTAATAGGTTTTGATATATTGATATCATAATTACTGTCGCCATTATTTCACTGGACCTTATACACTTTCAGCATAATAGTTCATCATCACAACTGTAACTTATCAAATTACTTTTGCTTCAGTGCGTTGCTAATTCTTCGAAATTATCAAAAAATATAGTGTCATTTATCGTGCGTAATCCTCTGATGCATGAAGCAGTACCTGCTGTACGTTCCAGACCGATTCTCGTTCAAAGTCCGGGTCGAGCTGCTTTCACACAAATCGCCGTATTACCTAATGTTAGTTTCTTTTGTAAGTTATGTTATAAATTTTTATGAGCATTTGATCTTATTTCAGAAACCATTTATGATTTGTGAAGTGATAAATAAGCAAATTCAAAAAATAACACAAGAGCAAAAGTATTTTTATTTTAATGAGTGATTTGCTTCTGAAATTTTGTGAAACATTCTTTTTTAACTGACTATTTTTGATAGCATCACTTTATCATTTTTTGAATTCACAATGCTTTATAAATATCAACATAATTATTGGCATGTTATATTTGAAAAATCTCAGCAGCATACTTCAAATCAGTGATTGTGAAAATATATCCGGAAAATTTATAGCTAGAGTTTCCATTGTATACAAATCATGATTTTTTTGTATGCAAATCATGTATATGGGAATTCTAGCTTAAATTGATTGGTTACGAAAGCGTGATTCGTTTTTATTTTAGGTTCAGTCAGTTAAAAAAGGAGTTACACATACTGCTTTGTTTATTGGTACTTCTGATGGACGAGTTTTGAAATTATACGATCCCGACGATGGTCCTAGTATTATAGTTCAGTCAGTGAAAGTTTTCGCCAAAAATGTACCTATTATTAATTTGATGGCTAATAATGAACAGGTAATAATTTCTGTCTTCTTAAGATTTAAATATTTGTTTTGAATCTTCTAGCAAGGGGAAAATGGCTGCGCTCGAAAATATAACTTTCATTTCTTTTTGTCGAGTTTTTAGACTTACTAGCAAATTACAGTTATTCGTTGTGAGCTCCAAGGAAGTAGCAGCATTGCCTTTGGAATACTGCTCAGAACAACGAAATTGTGCAGGTTGCGTGCATCTGCAGGATGCACACTGTGCATGGGATCTTGACTCTGCACGCTGTGTAGGTAGAAATAGCTGGTCAGATGAAAATTTTGTTCAGAATGTAATTCTTGGACGATCAGAACAGTGTCCTGAGGGTGCGGTAGACCCAGAATACTACGCCATTGATGGTAAAAAGTTTGGCATTTGTATTAATGACCACAATCAATTTTTTTCGAAGTAGGCATTGTGAGATACTGAGAATGTTTATTCTGACTAGCCCCAAAAATGAGATTATTGTAGAGATTTGTCTTTTTTAACTTTGTAATAAGTTTTTTCTCAGTTGTGCAGTAGCAAAATATCAAACTTTATGGCTTGCCTTCTTTAATTTATGAAAAAAGACCATTTTAGAATTACATTCAGAACGGGTCACTTCACCAGACGAGATTAAGAGCAATTTCGGTATGGAGAGGCTTGTAATAGCTGTCTTAATTACTATGGCTGTTGCATCAGCAGGAGGTTTCTTAGCAGGATACCGGCTGTCAAGATGGAGGTTTATTCAGGGAAGTCAGCACCATTCATCGACTTCTTCTACAGGTCTGTAAAAGCTTTTTTTATTTATCAAATATGCATCAGAAACTGCATGCTTTTGACACACTTGTAAATTTGCAGCTAAGAAAAATGTTTTTATAGGCAGTTATGATTCTTATGGGCGTATTCGACTTGCACGTCACGATTCCTTAGTCGGTAGTAAGTTGGATCATGTTTATAGCGCAGGACTCGGAAAGGACACAATCTCCTTGGTTTCCGGTGTGCCTCAGAATGGTATACCTTTTTTAAGCCCTCCTAGCAACTTAAATTCTGGTTTTGCGACTCCTAAACTTTCACATGAAAAAAATTTCGTTACTTGCTTAAATAATAGTACATTACCTAGGGATTATAAAGTTAAAAAAGTTTACTTATAGTACTGGTAAAATTCCTCGAGCATTTATGTATAGAATGGAAAGAGATGAGATTAAATTATGAGAGCAAAGTTTTCTGCAGCCAATTTCCATGCATAATACGGGTTGTGCTCGAGGAATGCAGCTAGTCTGATGCATTTTTGTAATTTGAATGAATATGAATTTACTTAAAATGAAATTAGATCTTCCTGATCTGCTTTTAATTTAAAAATATTGTTACTTTATTGTGATACTTTTCTACCCTTTGCGATTATTTGTGATTACACTGTTGTTACGCTACATGATACATTTTTTAGAGGCAAGCAAACTCATGCTACATTCTGGTCTTTTTTCTTCTTGATTTTTGTTAAATCTAGTCTTCTTTATTGTGGTAGGTTTGTTTAAGAAAGCTAAAAAATTTGCATCTGCTTCCTGGTAGCAGTGATATAGACAGTAATTTACTGTTACCATCGTTAATAATAATATTATTATTAATTATTATTAACATTAATTTTTGTGTTGCAAGCAAATATATATTAATACCTTAAAAAACAGTAGTCACTACTAATGCAGTTTTTCACTTACATCATGTTTGTAATATACATTCATAAATATTTTTGCAGGTGATCGATCTCGTGCTTTTATTATGAGTACTTTTGCCTTTTATTTCCATTAATCGTATGTTATTGTATAGTTCTTAGCAAAAGTGTTTAAAAAAGTGTGTAAAAATCATTGGTAATAAAAGAATCATAAAGAAAGTCAATTTGTATGAACTGAACCCATAATGTAAAGTGATGCTATATCTCTCAGAATATCACACTATTTTATCCATAGTAATAAGTCTGATTATCTGTAGACAATGGAAAGGAAAAGTCTTTGTATTTATATCTATGATTTTATCTTTGGTTTCGGTAAACTCATTTCTATCTTCTATTTGAATTAGTAATTACATTTTCGTTCGACGGCTTAAGTGGAGGTTGTTTGCTATTTCTAAACTATAATTACAAGCCTCCAGAAGTAAACTCAAAGATATTACCAGAAATTCTCTGCAGGTTTCAGGAGAAATCTTTATGAAGGATTCCTATTGTTTTTGACGATGAAGTCAGTAATGTTTCTAAATGTTTGCTTGTTATTCGTTTATTGAGAAAGTATTTTATCTCAATGAACGTATTAGCCAACGCAAAGCTAGCACACATTTATTACAGCACTGAAGCTGAATCATATCAGACGAAGCAAACACATTTGCAGTCGTACTAGCGGCACGTAGTGGAGATCGATTTAGATGTGCAACGACTCACACACAAATCATGTTTTAACAGCGACTGTCGTTCACTTTCATATGGAGCATATTATTTATTCATATGACTACGTTTCTACTTCTACTTCATACTTCACGGAGGTTGAAATGCATTTGCTTTAAAAACAGAAAAGTTACTTCAAACTGTCAAATGTAAAGTGAATTGAATTGGAGCGGTTGGCACTATTTGTCGGAAAAAAGCATTGATGAAAGGTTTCTTGAGAATGTCAAAAACTATTTGCTATTATGCACAAAACAATGATGATTTGATTCCAATTTTGTTTGTGAATTTCGTATGAAATATAAAATAGAAACGTAGTCGTTTGAATAAATAATCTGATTTACACGAAATTCATACATTATGGCAATTATGGGAAACGCAACAGAGAATTATTACCGTAATGAAGTCATCAAAAAATATTTTCAGCCTAAACTTACAGATATGATTGGTTGACTTCCATTAACTGCTTGAACTGTCATTATTTCATATTTACGCATTAAACATTGTCATCAATGCAAAAATAAAGAATAAGTCACTATGATTTTTGAAAAATTTGTATGAGACAGACAGTAAATTGTATGTTAGAAAAAAGGATGGATCGAAGGGGAATTTTCTTATAATTTTAATTCTTGATTAACTATTGATAGGATGATTCTAACAGTTAAGCTGACAAGATAAAACGTCCATAAGAAGGATGAAGTGAAAAGAGTTTATTTTCTTGAATCTTGGTTCTTGAACAAGAGTTGAAAATAAAAGGCTAGAAGTGGAGATAAAAGTGATGCTTGTTTATAATCAAAATATTTTGCATATCAACCCTATATCACAAATTACAACGTAAGAAGTCTAAAAACCCGTAAATATTTTTGTTAAATATTGCATAAAAAGTATTTATTCTGAAAGAAATGAGATTAGTTATTTGAATGTTAGAAGAATATGAAAAAGATGAACTTGTTTAAACTAATTATATTAAATATCTAATAACAAGCAAATCGCCATATTATTCCGAAGGAGAATTCTGTAAAGTCTTTATAATAAATGAATCACACAAGAGTATATTATTATGCATAAGAGATTAAACATTTATTTGTATAAAGGGAAATAATTTCTAAAAATCATTCATTAATATTGTTGTAAATCGACTTATACGGCTCCCTAAAACGTAGTTCTTGCAAAGAAACAAGCAAATTTGTATCACATTTTTGATGCATACGCCCCTTTTCAACGCGTTCATTTTTGGAAGATCACGATTTGAATTATTATTAAGCATTAACATTTACTTCCTATAAGGGAATGGCTAGTAAAAGGCTCAGTGAAAAATTACCGCAACCAGGAGAATTCATTATCACTAAAAAAGCGGAGTACGAGGTTTCTAGTCAACCATTTTTATCATTAATTTATTATTCATTAAAAACTGTTACTACTCTTTATTCGTGTTTCAAACTCAATAAAACAGTTGTAAATTACTATCAAACAGTTCTGATTACAAAATGTAAAATTTTCATTCTAGTCGATAAAATTATTGGGCAAAGGTGGCTTTGGAGCAGTGTATGAAGTAAAGCGATTATCAGATTCTGCATCTTTTGCAATGAAATGTGAATTGATGGATGTTAGAAAACGAGTAATGATGCTAGAATATTATTTAACTTAAGAAACGAATAATGAAAGCTTGCTTCATTCAAGGAAATTTTTTCTAGACTATAAATCTTTTCAAATAATAGATCACTTTTACTGACCGACAGTATAATGGGCGGCATTTAAAGGTATTACTAATGGATTGCACGGTTTTACGTGGTGCACAATCACTCGGAAGCAAGCACTTTTGTGACATAATCGATCGTGGAAAGAGACCTGAACGTTTCAGATTCATCATCATGAAATTAGTATTATTTTATCTTATTCCGAAACTTGCAATTTTCACTTCCAATTCTAAAGCAGAAACAAATGAAAATAGTAAACTTAGACAAATGCTTAAGAATTGGACGAAAATTCAGTAACATATTTACTTAAGCCTGTAGATTCAGATCAGAAAATTTTATTGCAAACTTTTAATTAAATGCAAGGAAATTTCCCCTAAAACATTTTTAGGTCGGTCGAAATTTGTGGGATTTGAGAATTGAGCGACCTGAACAGCGTTTCACATTAAATACGGCATTGAAAGCATCAGAACAATGCTTGGAATCCATTGAGCATTTGCATACCGTGGGATTTTTACATCGAGATATAAAACCAGGAAATTTTGCTATCGGACGGCCAGAAGCCAATGAACATCACATCATTTTCATGCTTGATTTTGGGTTGTGCAGACAATTCAGGTTAAATATTCTCCTGAAATTTTTTTTATTCATATTTGGTCATAGAATTCCAATTCACTAACTTTTCTCTACAAGCTTATGTATAGTAAACTAGGTTGAACAATCGTATATTTTAAAAAAAATATGAGATAACCAATCATTTTTAGTCAAAAAACTTTGTAGACCTGATATAATAAATTATGAGGGATTATTCTCGCTATTTTTATCCTGTGAGCAATAAAACTAAATAGCAAATAATAGTACAGACAGTTTTTATTGGACTGTAACAAAAATGGTCGAACTGTAACAAAAAAACTTGCAAATTACTGACTGATGGACGGTTGAGAACTGTTATTTACTGCTTCTGAGGAATTGGAAAAGTGTAGCTTCGTTTAAAGATCTTATTGTTGTGTAAAATTCGATTCTCATAATATTTCATCTTCAAGTCGTCAGAAAGTAAATTTGGTAGATCAAAAAAAATAAAATCAAAAAATTTGGTCATTTCATAAAATACAAATATATTTGATCTGCTAAGAAAACGGTATTAGCCATTTATTGGCTGATTAAATGTGGTCTTATCTTGTTATGTTAATAGTATTTATTTTTGTCCTTGCATTTTAGACAAGCTACAGGCAACAAGCATCCTTTGATGCCTTTTAAAAATTTTCTAATTTCAGTTCAGGTAACAAGGATTTACGACTACCTCGAGCATCAGCTCCTTTCCGCGGAACTACCAGATATGCATCTATCGCTGCCTTACGACAAATGGAGCAATCTCGAAAAGATGATGTAGAATCATGGCTTTACATAACTGTCGAATGGACTGCTGGCTCTTTACCATGGAAGAAGTTAAAGGTGGAAAATAATCTGGCTAGCACAACTCTCTGCATTCTTTTAAGCAACTTTTCAAGTATTCATTAAATAATATTTGATAAAAAACCAATCAATCATCAATTTTTCATTCAATGAACAAACGACAAACTGCTAATCGATTACTCAAAATTGAAAAAGAAAATGATATACTTAATGAAGAACATTGATATGATCGCTTCGCATAATTACAGGGTCCAGATAAGGAAGAAGTTTTACAGTGGAAGGAGGAAGTACGTGAAGGTGATGCAATGGATGATTTTTTCAAACAATGTCCCAAACGTGAATTCTCGACGATAATGAAGTATATTGATTCTCTGGAATATGAAAGTATACCAGACTATGATCATATATATTACTGCATACAACATGCCGCTAAAGTACTTCCATTCTTCATTCTTTTAAAAATTTGCATAAGAAATGAGAGTCTACTATGACATTTTGAACAACGCTTGAATGAAATTTTAGAGATTTATACCTTTAAATAAATAATCGACTAAGCCTATACTTTCATTTTATAAATTTAGAAACTAATTCCAATTTCAGTAGATTCGCGTGATTACTTTTGTATTTATTTAAAGGCAAATCGGATAGCTCCGGATGACCCATTGGATTGGGACCCCGGAAATAAGTACCACGGACCCACAATAAATCTCAATCACAGGGAAAACAAGCATACTAGAACTAGACATCTAATTACAGCTAGAACGCAACGATCTGGCTAATAAAAATTAGCCTGGCTAATTTCTATTAATTTATTTTGATTAAATTGCTATTAAGTCATTCACTTGTTTGCAAATATCTTCAACGCATGATGGTTATATTGCATTTGAATTGTCATACTCTTATAAGAAATTTGTTGAATTTCATAAGTTTTATTCACTTCTGTAAGCTTCACAATTTCTGCTGAGATTGCAATTTTGCAAATCTAATCAAATACAACAGTAAATTGTTTTAAACCAATTTTACATATATGTCACTCCCACTCACTCACTACATGAATTGACTCAAAGGTATCGCTCTACTACTCATACTCATTACTTGTCAATATTAATAACTGATATGTAGAACTGTCCAAATTTTCACACTTCCTCCAGTAGTAGTAGTAGTCGTGTTATATTATAGTTCTTTACTACTTTTACCGCTGTGACTGATTACATAGAGCAATGAAATTAATCACAGATTAGTGCTATCAGTAACTACTAACAATAATCGGTGCACGACCATTTTCTAAAAATATCCATAAAGAACGAGAAGTAATCAAGTTGTTTAGAAAAATAATTTTATAGAATTGCAATATATTTCTTGTTTCAAATAGAGCAAATGGTTTCCTTCAAAATCTTGCAATACTATGTTTAGTTCCAATCGCGTCCTATAAACATTATCAGTACTTACGACAAATAATTGTACCTAATGGTAACTGGCATTAATTTCATTAAAATTTCTCAAAAATCTAAAATTGAACGTAGTAGACCTCCCACGACTTGTTCTTCTATTATTCGATAAAAACAATTCAAGTTGTTCAAATTGCAGCGAATTGCTAACAGTTTCTAATCTGATCCAAACCGTTGTGCTCTCACTAATACTGATTATATTTTCTGAAAATAAATTCACCAAATTATAGCCAATTATCATACTGCAAATCTCAGTGCATCATAAAACACCAACAGTACTCTTCGAATCTTCGACTTATAGTGTTTGGAACAACGTAATTCATACCTGAGAAATGATAAAGGTGAGAACACTAAATTTTCTCGAAAAATGAATTGCTTGCATGTTATTATCATTATTCATAATTGTCTCACTATCTACAACAGAGAAGCGGACAGTATTAGATAAGACTATTGCAGTTGCAGAGCGAACATGTGTTAGGTTATCCAGATTTTTATCATGATCTCCTTAGTAAAACCAAACACATAGTAATCAATGGCACTTGAATGTTTTTCTTAGTCTGAATTCTTACAACTGTTCATAAATAAAAATCTAATCATAAACTATTGAAAATTAAAAATTTGAAAAAATGCTACTTTTCCTTGCCAGTCACTTGCATCCACTGCACAAAAATACAATTTCTGTAACTTGGTGGTTACTGTTAGTACTAGTCTGTAATAATTTCAGCTCAATTTCTCAAAACGATTTGTTTTTCCACTGAGATTAGTAATTATATTTTAACCTAAATACTATGCACAAATCAACGAAAATTATACATATCATGTAGTTTAAATAATGACATTGAATTTCAGAGATATAATTTTGAGCAAGTATTTCGGACACACTATTAATGATAACCGTATGATAATGATGATAATTAAAGTAATAATAGACAATACAATAAGCAAATTAAATAGAAAATACAGTAAACTCATATTCGTCAACTTACAAAAAAATTACTGGAACACGTACGTACATCCTTTAGTTTCATATTGAGCACAATCGGCAAATATTAGTCATTACAATGAATTGATAAAAATTAACTTTTATGGGATATGTAATAAAACCAATTTAATGGTTCTTTACATATCATTTCGTTTACACAACGAAAAGTGATTTAAATGATAACTGATGTAACGAGTTGCTCTTATGCAGAACAATATATAAAGATAAGAGCATTTTGCTTTCATTAACGAAACGACAAGGCTAATTAGAAACTTCTAAAAGTTATCTTTAAATACTAAATGACATACAGTACTCCTCAATTATGGAATAGTGATATGCTTAAATATATAGGATTTATTACAGTCCCCCTCACTTCACTTGTTTTAAAAATTTGAAAATTTTGTTTTAGTTTTTACAATTTGGAAAATATTCAAAACTGAAACTGTAACATTTCAATATAAAGCAAAAAATATTTACGAAAGTACAAATAATTTTGCACCCATTAAGAAAGACCAGAAAATTAAAATTAAAAAAAATTTATACATACATATAGAAAGTGACTGAGGAGACACAAATTCCATTAAGGTTCTATTAAATGAATACAAATTCTGATTTTGAACAAATAATTATAAATACCAGGCAAGAAATATAAGGCACGGATTTCGGAGCTCAGTCGATCATGGAATGTTCTCTTAAACACAATAGAACTGCAATCTGCATTTTTATCGTCAACGTGTTAGCAGTTTTTAAAACCCTGCTTCCGTAAATCTATTTTAGATTGGGTTTCTAACAACTTGACTTTGAGATGTGTAAATAACGGCCGCAGTTGCAAATCGTATAGTTTATACTTCAGCGACGAAACTCCATCGGTATGCAAGCGCATTTTTGTTTGCGCCATTAATTCATATCGACATCTTGAAAAATTATTTTTCAAAAGTAGAATGCCAGATTTCCAAGGAATAGTTTCCGTTCACAAAATGAAAATTCAAAAAAGATAAATAAAATTCTACAGTTTAATACGGCACAATTCATATACGAAAAATTTGTAATCAGTGGACCGAAAATGCGGAAATTATGTCAGAATATGAAGATTCTGACCTATTAACTGGATTTTTTGTTTCTGACTTATGTTTGATCATTTTATACCGAGCGATTTCAGAAGGATATCGCATGATTTTATATCCAGCAGAGGTTACTCTATAAAAACAAATTATCCATTAGAGGTATCATAAAAAAAAAATTCTAAATAAAATGTATACAAATATCTTGTTCTACCTTAATGTTTCCATCTACAGCACATAGTTTTTTTCAGTTGTGCGAAGAATTTTAACTAAAGATGACTGATTGACAGTATAATCATTCTATCGAGAATAATTTACGTGCTTTAGAAGAGAAAGTTGCGCTTTACATTTACTCGTGAAGAATTACTTTTTTTACTGCAATAACTGTTTAAAAAATTTCAACATTTTCAATTCTATCCATAAAAGTATGGATTTGTGAAATTAAATAATCCATAGTAACTTAAATTCAGACTTTTCACCTTTATGAAATGATTTAAGATTAAATATTTCCCTTACCTTGTGGAGAGATCATCATCTTCTCCACCCCATCCCCAATAATCGTTCGAAAATCCGTTAATTTTTCTGAACTGCTCCGTCGTAATTGCACTTATACCCCCAAATATTGACCGATATGGTAATCTGGAATACATTCATTTCACAATCTCATATTTCTGATTAGACATTCAAACTAAAAAAGTTTGCCCATGACAATTTACCACACTTTTGTTCGCGATACAGTAGAAAATCGCACTTCTAAAAACTTCTAAATTAAGTGCCCTAGCTGCTTCAATAAATTGTTTTTATCATCATATGGATAAGTGTCAAAGTCAAAAAAATTCCACACTTATTCCAGCTTTCACAGTTCACAGCATTTGATGCTCAAGAGATACCGTATTACTTCGATTTTTGCATGTAAAATTTCCCGTAACAGTTGCTATGCAAACAAAATATGGCCACCAGTATTCTGTAATATTTATTGTTAATTTAACCGAAATTAATTGGGAAAATACTTGTAATGAAACTTGTCGATTGCAACACTCATATGCCTTGGTTGATCAGGACATGAGTAAATATTACGATCATCTTCTGGTAATAAGTCAACATCATGAAAAACCAGACACTGCCAGTCGTAAAGTTTCATTGCCTCGGTATACCCCACATTCATTAACTTGCCACGATTGAATGTTTCATTTTCATATTGCTCGACTACGAAAACTGCATAATCGAGTTGCTGTTTGGTGAGTAAAGAATGAAGATTGTGCAACAAAATACGTAAATGAGCTTCCCGATCTCTGAAGTGTTACAGATCAAAGTATTAAACAGGAAAAATAAAAGAAACTTTCTTTTAAGCCGTTTGCGACGACAAAAATTTTCACTGCTAATCGCTAATATGAAACTAAAAAAAGTGCAATCTTTTAACAAATAAAATTTCTTATTTTAGTATCATAAATGATATGGCTTCAAATTCTGAACTAATCAAGATTTGACTGATTGGGAAAGGAAGAGAGAAGTTTAGCTGGGATATATTCTGAAGATAAAGCCCTTTACTTTGTTACTACTTCTTTTATAGATATAAAATCTTATATACTACGAATAGGAAAGAAGACTGAAAACAAAACTGAGCACATAACTCAGTACTATATCGAAATTAGGAGATTGATAAGTGAGGAAAATATTTACAGAGAAAAGTAAAAAAGATAATAAATAAAAGGTATTGAGTAAGATATGAAACGACGATAAAATGTCAGATTACAGTTTCTTTGTATAATCTTAAAATGAGATGAAATAATAAACTACAGAAGCAAACCTATACGGTATAACAATCGCAACTCTATGACGAGCCAGACAATTTTTCGGTTTTCCATGACCACCAAGTTCTAAATAAGGATTTAAGCGTTCAATTTCTTCGAATGTGGGTTCATCAAACCATACTTTAATGGGACCAACCAAACCAGGTGGTGTAGCAGGACATTTTGGCAAGCTACAATTTTGATGTATCATTGCGAAAGGCGCAGTTTCGACTGTTGTAAATGCGATGTTACTGCCGCTGGATATTTTGCCTGCAGAATCAAAAAAAGAGAAAGATTCCTTAAGACGATGAGACACTTTCAATTTGTAATCTAGCAAAAGATTTAAAAATGAGTTTCAATAAAATTACTGAACCACATAATAAATAATGATGTAAAGTAATTTACATCACCATCCATTTTGTGGTTCAGTAATTTAGCATAATCTAGAATTTGTATTTATCAGAATAAGACATGAGGAAACTAATGTAAGGTAATATGCAGCAATTATGAACACTGTCAAATTATGATCAAACCTCCTTATTTCTCATTTCTACGACGGAATCTTGATATATTTCTGAAAATTTGCATTTGAATCAAATAAAGCAACTAACGTTGTGTAACAGCATTACGCGTAACATGTTTGACTCCTTCAGATGCATTTAAAAGTTTGAAAGGTCTTTTTGTATACGAATCTGACAACTGAGTATTCGTTGAACCATTGAAAACTACACGAAAAAAGGAATCAGGACTGAAAGTGTTATTAACTGCAGAATAAACAGCTTTAGAACTAATGACCGGCTTGAAATGTGCATTAGTAATCAGAACCTGGTCCGACTCACTGCTATTGGAATTATGATAGGTGCTGTTAGAGTCATGAACTAGTATGAATTTTTCTTTGTTGTTTTTACCGGTTGGCTTCGAGATGTAATAATAACTGATATATTGTAAGCCATCGTCGAGAAAATAATTAAGTATTGTACCAAGTAACAGCAAAAATATAACGACACGTAAGTATTTTAGTACCCCCATTCTGACTTATGTCTCATCCTGTCCAACTCCAAAACGACTGGTCTTTCTGATTTTGGATATCAAATTGTAACACAAAATCTATAAGAGAATAGAGTCATAGTAGTACAGTATGAATTATCGATGTCACAACAACCTCGTTGCTACTAATTTTGTGTAATAATCAAAGCATGGACAAATGTAGAAGAACTTAGGCAACGTAATATCAGATCAGAAAAATGAACTTAACAAGAATTCAATAGTTCATACAATGAATTTAAATCAATGATAACGATGATATGGAGGAAACACAGCATGTGCACAGAAATACAATCACAACAATACGGATCAAAAATCAAACTTACATCAAAAATGATATTAGCATAAAATAATAGCTATCTCATTCGGTACATGGTGGAGCTATGAGGAAAAATAGACATTTGAAGTTAATGCGAACATTCATATTCTAAAAAAAATTGATTCTGAATATGTGAAGAAAGTTTAGCTTTGCAGTGGTAGCTAGCTTTTACGATGTGTAAAATTGATATCTCGTGATTTTTCTCATGTCCTTACGATTGTTAATTTCATGAATACTTGAAAAGCTCTTTCACACACGTCACACACGAACAATCCACAGCAATGCCAGAGGAATTCGTGCAAAACACTGTCACTCATAGTCTGCAATTTTGCTTACTACTGAAGTTTGGACAAAATTAGTAGAAAAAACATTAGAAGGTGACGCTATAACAATTGCTCATTTAATATTGCGTATTACTGCTGAAATTTTTTTATTAGTGGTTAAAGTAAAGTATGAATCCTCGAACAGCGTTGAATTAATAGAATGAGAAGTGTCATTACCATATTCAATTTTCACAGCAACTTATAATACAGTCATTAAAAGTTACACAGCGCTAGCTGTCACTTAACAAAGGCGTACACGATATTTACAATATGGAAAGCCAATTAGAATATTTTCAAAAGAAAACTTGAATCGAAATATGTAGAAATGCCTACTTCAGTAGTGATGAAGCAGTCTTCAAAATAATTGATCTTCTGCAGATATTTATGGATTCTATACTTCTGAAGAAAAAAATTGTTCTCATTTTAGTTAAAGTGATTAAAATGGCAATTACCATTAATCATGAGTATCATTAGTGATTCTGAAACATATTTATCGTTTAAAACCATATTCAGGGTCTGACTGCAGAGCCTACCAAAAAAAAACGTCGTCAAAGGTTAGTAATCAGATAGTTCAAGATGAAATATAAAAGATCAGGATGTATACATTGCAATTGGGAGGGACATTTTGACAAGTAAACACAAGAAATACTTGAACTAAAACTATCATGTCTAAGCGCAGTGACTGTTGTAGCAATTGCAACTGAAAAGTTCTTTGCGAAGTAGCAATTTCTAGACATTTTGGGGGCTTCTGGTCACTTGAAGATCAGTTACTGGCAAATACCAAATGAGGTCAGCCTAAAAATTTTTTTCCTTCACAAGCGATTTCATATGGAAAGAAGTAATTCAAAAATTACAATGACAAAAAATTAGCGATCTATGAAAATAAAAGATATAGTGAAAGACTAAATATCTCAGTCATCAATCTTAGTCGAAAATAAAACAGACAAACGACTACAGACAATAAATGCAGTATATCAAGATCAAAATGCCTGTAAAATGAGAGATAGAGAAGCAAATTCGATAAATTCATTCTGCTGAAAAAAATACAAGTCCAAAGCGTATACTAATAACAACTAAGAAATGAAGTGAAAAATGTGAACTGTAGTCGAATGGCACGCAATCAAGTGAGATAAATTCAAAAAATGAAAAGTAATGGGTATTTAGAAAAATGAAAGTCAATAGGTTTTCAGTAATATCCGTTACTTTAATATCCATTCTTCATCTTTCTTAATCAGTTGATTTCAATCAAAATGTCGAAAAATCTTTTTGTTTTCTGAAGTACAAATCTATCAAAATTATGAAAAATATCAACAGTTGGGAGAGAGACAGTGTGATGCAATAACTAAGGTATGGACAGCAGTTGAATCAAAGAACTGCTTCCACTAGCTTCTTGTTATTCAGTTATTCAGTAATCCCCAAGTGAACAGCATTTACTCTACTGCTAACATTCAAATTTTTGGTTGCAACTTCATAAATAAGACTGACAAAAGCAATATAAAATGCAAAATTATTCATTCCCTCATCTCCTCTCTCGAACGAACATCTTTTCATTCCTTGCAGTACGCAAACAATGCAAAAGATGAAAAACGAAATTCGCCTTTATCTCACACATTTGTCTGTACAGATTTGCTACTAAAGGAAAGCAGAGAGAGTAGCACAACAGCACTGCCCTCTCCCATCAGTCAGAAAGCGACGACGGAATTCCTTGCATGTAAGAGGCATATGGCGTTTCTGTGGCAAACACCTATGACGCCCATCTCGACATCAACAATGATTAATTGCTTGCCGACGATCTGTATTCCCATACGAAACAGTAACTGAGATTGCAGACTCAATTTGCCATATTTTATATGATTTTGAAGCATACCATGCAGTCTATTTTCGATGTCTTTCTGAATTATTTATTGCATTTTCAATCACAAATAACTCCTGGTGTTCTTTGCAAAAATTCAGAAATTTCTATCAATGCAAAAATAACAGACGAGAAAGTTACTGCAACCTTTCGAATACCACTTCCCACTTCATGTCAATTTGATTGCTTTTACAAGCCCCTTCTCTTTCCAAAAATGGCAAAATGATACACTGGATACTGTTTTGGTACCCTGTGTATCATTCGTTTTTGAAAGGACGTTGAATACGAGCTTCCTAACAATAACATTAACTTCCAACATTCCAGAAGCACTACTTCATACGCAGCAAAAATAATCGTAGCAAAAAAACAGTATAAGAAAAACTTTCCTTCTAGACTCTCTCCGATTTAATTACTTCAGATATTGAACTTCTTTCAACTTACTAGACTTCAGGCATATCCAACTTTGAACAGTCGTTTACAACGTGAAAACGTCCTGAATCATCTTTACAGAAACATATTGATACTAATTGGTATTAAAAAGATTAAAACAAAGTTAACAATAGGTTTGCTTGCTAACAAAAAAGCGGAAATCAGGAACGATTTCGACACAATTTGCCGTAAACCAATTATTCTTCGAGATTACCTCATGTGTAAAATGTAAGCACAGACTGAGAAACAATTCTCAGTTCGACTGACTCTCATGGTCTTATGCATTTAGCTAGTACCAAATTTAGATGATGAGACTACAAACGTAAAATCCAAACTTTTTCACTATTTCTTGACTGGAGAATTTTTCCGATTTGAAGTTATATTATTATTTTTCAACTCAAATGGTATAACTAGAAGGAGCTAATTCAAATGTTACTTCAAGTTACATACAAATAAGTCTATGCATTTAATCCATTCATTAAGATTTGTATTAGTAACATTTATTTCAAATCAAATAAAAACCACATTACAACGATATGTTAATGAGCCAAGTATAATTTGTTTGAAAGGCAGGATAAGATACAGGCATCAGGGAACGTTACTATTACTTTGTTCTCATTTACATGTGCAAAGAAATGTTTCAATTAAATGCCATAAAATAATATATTTCCAAGATATCATATCAAAATTAACTGAACTGAAAACACATTTAAAACAATCAGCCACAAGACAAGCAAGCATCTCAACATAACCGCCAGTTCAATGAACTTTTACAATATCAAATCCATTTCAAAAAAATATTTTGCATACCGTAAGTACTCCACTTCTTAAGCATTTGCTCATCGGACATATGAAATAACAATCGATGTCTTAATTTGCGTTGATTTTTTCCATAGTCATACGTCAATTTTGCACTACAAATAACTGATGAAAGTAGCGATAGTCAGTCTAATTTAACGAACTCTCTATTTATTGAGTTGTAACTCCACAAATTACAAATAATACATATGACAATTATGAGTAAATACAATAAACACAATCTGCACTATGTCCATGTCCACTGTATTCACTAATAATAATAGTTCAGTCCTACAAATCAAACCTTAAAAAAATGTAAATAGCATCATCTTTTCTTATTTCTTTAGTAAAGATGAAGCAAATTATTCATTCTCAACCTTACATGACTGTATTTAAATAATTGTAACTAAAAAATGCTTGGTAATAGTACTTACAGCATAGGACTGAACAACTCGTTTGGCTTTTTCAGCAATTGGATCGTTAAACCATTCATGAGATAACGCTTGTTCAGCCGACAAACGATTTTTTACATCAACCTTCAAACAAAGCCTGACAAATTCGCGAGCAGTAGTCGAAATATGCTTCCATACTTTGTAATAAATTAGTCGACCTGAAAAGTTCTCTGAATTCAGAAAGTTATTTTGAAAATTACACCTATTATAAATAATAAATTCACACCTCATTAAATTGCATTAAAATTCATTACAGAAGATAAGATTGCCTGCTCCACATTTACATTTCTGAGTTCATATCTTTTGACAGTGATTTAAACTGTCACAAAGTAAAACAAACTCAATTGATATATTTGTATTTAATAAAAAAGACAGATACTACACAAAGAAGTTGCTTTCGAAAATCAAAGTTCTTAGCAATTTCATTACTGAACTATGACTAAGTAACACTCAAAATCAAGTTTTTAATAATAATAACTTTAACCATCGCAAGATGTACTAATTTAATCACTAACAAGATTAATCAGTCTTACAAAATTTAACGAAAAAATTACCTCGTACAATTTGATCTTTTAGCTTTAAGTCCTCGTAAGATTCACTAAACGGAGGATAACCACTCAAGCTAGAAAAAATAACAGCGCCAAACGACCATATATCAACTTTAGAATCATAACTTTCATTTGTCCAAACTTCTGGTGCCATATAACATTGAGTACCACAAAATGTTGTTAATGAATGATCTTTCATGCAGCTTAATCCAAAATCTGTCAACTGGAAAATAACATAATAAAACGCTTGTTAGCAAAAAAAAATACCAATACAGGCTAAGTTATAATCTGAAATATATAATTTCATCACAGTTAAGACTTCAGAAATATGAAGAACTTAGTGAGAAAAAAAAAACCCAATTTCAATCATTCTTAATAAAAAGCATTTAGAACATGAGTTAATTTTTATTGCTGCAGTCGTAAGTAGCTAATAATCAAATATAATTGTATTATGAATTTATTTTTTATGATCAACAATAAGATGACCGGAGTGAAATCCGTGAGGAAAAATATATCAGAAGAGTTAACGATTTTAATTAGCTCTTGATTCTTCCGATGAAAAGAATATAATGAAAAAGAATATAAAATCATACTTTAGCTACTGTAAAAGTATCCTTAGTCAACAGTAAGACATTTTCAGGTTTTATATCACGATGTACGATTCCATTTTTATGAAGATACTGAAAACTGTTTTAGATATAATGAAAAGTAATGAGGAAAAAAATCATAATGCTTATTCAACTTTTCAGCTTTTTATTTCTAATATGAACATTAGTCCCACGAATATTTTTTTTTTGAATATGTTTTAAGAAAGTCAAAGATGCATGTGAAAGATGAAATAACTAAGCATACATCGAGAGCACTGAATATTTGCCACGCATAAAACTTAGTGACTTCTTCTCCAAGACCATTTCCCTTATTTTCATTCGCGATAATTCGCTTATACAATTCACCACCTTCAATGTACTCCATTACTATGTAAGCCATTGAATCCGATTCATACAGCTGTTCCAAACGTACACAATTTGGCTGAAAATATTTCAAAAACGATATACTAAAACAAATCAACAAAAAAATGCTTAACAGTGCCTTTATTCTTTTATTGGTTGTCCTTACTATTATAAAATAGTTAGTTCTAATTTTCCATTGCAATCCTCAATTAAATAAACGAAAATTCATATACTTGCCTTAATTAAAAAAAAAAAAGAAAGAGAAAAAATAAACAGCAGTATACAGACTAAATAAATACAAAAAGTTGAAAATTTTTAGTTTCGATCAAAAGCTTTCACCATTTTCGACTTTTGACACTTTCCTAGCTATTATTAAAGTCTCCCAAAAAAGACACTGTATAAATTTGAAAAACTTTGCTACTAAGCAGTGAAAAAAAAAATTAAGTCAAGAAATTCAAAAAACAACCAAGAAAATACAAGTAAAAAACACACATGTTTCACACTCAACATGATTTGGACTTCTCGTTTGATAGCTTCTGACGTGGATCGCTTCTCTTCATTACTACCTACGATTTCATGTTTTTTAGGAATGACTTTAATAGCCACGGCAATTGAAGTATTTGTCCGTTTCTTACCGATGTACACCTGAAAGTCTTCTAATATTAGAAATGCAAAAGTTATAGTTTTTAAAGCTTGCAAAAATAGTATATTCAAATTATAATAATCAATTCGTGCACTGATAAATTTGCTTACATAAGTAGAAGTTTATGATGAAAATAAAGAAAAAAAACGAATGCTAAAAATTTTTAATTAAAGAATAAAAGAATTAATAAATGAAAAAGACTGAAAATCAAACTTTGCTCATTGCACCTTTACCAATAACCAAATTCGAAACTAAGTACTCATTGCTTAACTCAGCTGGAAACTCGTCGTTTGAAACCTTTGTTTCAACATAGATAAAAGCTAAAATCCATATTCATAAATTTACAATCATTAAAATAATTTAATTCAAAATCCTTCAGCTTTAGTACTTCTGACATTTGTTCCATCGTTACTTTTTAAAATTTTGTACAGAACAATAAAGGACCTATCCAAAAAATGGGATAAATATCTTTTTTGATAACAAGTCTGAAATTTTAAAAAATCATGATTCTTTTAAATTATAAATTAAAGAAAAACAACCATAAAATTTCGGATCGCATAAGCTTATTAGGTCACCATTCAACAAGCGACAAGGACTGTCTTTTCCGACCAATTTTTCATTTATAAATGTTCCGAAACGGCTTGTGTCATGAAGGTAAGTAATGCCTAGAGCATCCTATAATTTCCGACACACACAGTAAATCGAATGAATAGAAAGATTTTTATGAAGTTAGAAATATATTTCTCAAATCAAAACTGGTGATTAAAAAATTAATATTTTTAAGAATTTAAAGAACAAGATTCAGTAAAATAGTCAAAAATCTCTAGTCTTTTGAACTAGAAAATATAAAGAGTGCGAACCAAACCAACCGTTAAGAAGAACTAACCCGTTCTATGTGGCAATGTCTTCCACTGATACTACTTCTCAAGTGATGATCACTTAGGCTAGTAAAGTTGTATGCTTCACTTAATTTCGGATTTCTTCCAAACCCAAACAGAGGTGTAGATAATTCTACAAAATTCTGTCTGATGTCGAATGCAGAAAGACAGAATTACTATTTCAAAAATTCTTTTTTAACTAACTTTCTTTTGCTCACTGCTTTTAAAATTTTGGCAAATTGTCCCATTTCACGGAAGGAACGATTCTAATTCAAATAATTTTGAAAGTAAAAATTAACCGCACAAAATGATCATATTCTGATTTCTATCTTTTAATATCTGTTTAATTTCGATAATTCAGAATATCTTATAAAAATTTTACATTTATGAGAATCAAATTTACTAGCATGAAATACAGAATAAACGAACCAATGTGATGTAAACCTTGAGCCATAGGATACAATACAGCATACACTTCACGTTCCTTTTGGACAGAAAACCAATCCTGCGCAACAATTGATCTTATATGGATTGACTGAATATTAACTAGATTCTACGGGAAAAGCGGTGCAGAAGTAAAAAAAAGCAAGCAAATTTATGCAACGTTCGGAAAGTTTTAATTACTAAAAAATCATATGAAAAATGATACTTCAAACAAAAATAAAACATACACTAAAGAGATAATGTTGGAAACTGGCACTTCAGAGTTTGGCATAATCAAGCGAATTACTTTTTGATTTAATTTCACTATTATTAAAATTTTGCTAGTGATTTAGCTTCCACAAACAGAAAGTATAACGATAAAATTTTTGCAGATATGAATAATAAAGCAAAAGTAATCTTTCAGGAAAATCTGATGCTTAAGAGACTATTCTTTTAGTCTCAGTCAATACCATATTGTGTATTTGAATACAGTATGAAGTTTAACAGATAGTCAGAAGAAAATAAACTGGTAACTGAGGTCAAATAATAAAATAAAAAGATATTAAGGCAAGCTTGCTTAAAGTTACAAACTAACTCGCAATAAAACTGAAAAGTGAGCAAAAAATAAGGAAAGAAAGAAATACATTCAGCGAAGGGTAAGGAAAGTAAGATGGAAAGATGCTTACTCGTAATGACTGACTAAACTGACTGCTCTTCTGAGTCAATGGAATATCTTCTTGGCTTTGACCTTCTAGTGTACTGTTAGGATTAACAGTCGTATCCATTATGTTACGTTAATAAGCGGATGAAATCTAAAAGCAATCCCACAATAAGAATTTTTTAACTTCAAATATAGACAGTCAATCAATTACAAGAGATGGCTAAGTGTTGAAGGCTCCAAAGGAGGAGTAGCAACACAATGGACTTACTTACTGACTACCGACTTCTTTCGCTGCAGTAGCGATGACACCAAATTGATCTCCCATTCAGCTCATCTCCCTCTTCTAGCCGAACAATAAGGCAAAGAAACAGTAATGCTCAACGCTGAGTAACTGTTTGCAAGAGATGAGCTTAGTAAAAATCACATCTATCATGCAAAAGATGAATGAAAGTGAGCAGAGAAGTGAAAGTAAAAAACGACCATTGCTTGCAATACAAAAAGCACACTCATTTTGAATAACACTTTACCGCTAACTAACGTCACGGAGATACACGCATAGTGCGTCTTTTGCTGCAATGATTTCTTCTTCATTGCCTATCTTATTTATCTAAATGATAGTTACGTACCGCTATTACTATCTCTGTTATCACTTAAACATGAGCTAATTTTGTCAAATAATCACCATAGAAGGCGAGTTATTCAAAAAGTAGTTCGGCGAGGGCGTGCACACACACATGCACATACATGTACATACACACACATACACATACTACAACCCACACACACACACACAAGCACATGCACATTTATTCACTCACATATATAATCAAAACACATACAAGGAAGCTTGATAGTATCGAGATAGTGTGATTGAAGTGGATTTGATAAAATTACATGGCTGTGCAGAGGCAAAACACTGAACAAACCACTTTCAAACATGTGTCAATTGCTTAAAAAGATATAATGAGAGATAAAAAGCCCCCACGATATCAAATAGGATCAAATATAAAAATGATTGCTATGAGAGAGAAAATTGCGCCAATGACACTTTTGTTAATTGAAGAAATGAGATTAAATTTTGTATTTTGAAGACATTGCATGGATGGTAAATTACAGTAATAGTTGTGTAAGGTAGTAGCTTTGGCTAACGACGTATTAATTTTCCAGCTAATCGGGATAAAATTTTTTTGTTTTTGTATCACTGCACTGAATGTTGCACTCAAACACCCAAAACAAGCAATCAGCCACTATTACTATTTTTACATGCTCATCATAGCTCATAAAAACGTCAATCAGTACATTCCCGCCTATTTTCTGAATCAGGTTGGATCATTGAGTCACCTTACTGAGTGAGAACGCCTTCACCCAAATTCAAATTCATGCAAATTGCTTTATTTGTATCTATTAATTTTCGCTTAAAGGAATTTTATACCATCAAGCGTTATTTCAATTTCATTTCTTATACAATTTATAGCTAGTATTCATGTGAGTTTCTTTTCTCGCTTAACAGAAGGGATCTTTGCATTTCACTCAGCAGCAACTGATGCTACATACTATGGGCTGCTAGTCAGCCGTTATTGCTGTTAAGTTTATAGTTCCTTCAATTTTGCATCTTTGCTAATGGGTAATAGCGGCAGTTCCATCACCGATCTCAGTTTATTTTCCAAAGGTAGCGTCTTTACGAGAGATCAACTTGACGAATATCAGGTCATTTTTGACCTTACTAATCAATATTCATTATCATTAGTTACTAAAGTTGCCTATCACTTACGTCTTTTGTCCGAATAAAGGACATTGTAACATTGAATCTTGATATTCTAGTTAATTATTTCTAGTTCATCACTGCATCTACTCAACAAGTATGACATTTTCATCCTTGCCAAGTAAAGACAGTGATTACTTACGCTACAGAGGCAGTAGCTACAAAAATTTGTTCCTCGTTTAGCAAGCTTTTCTTTGTTACGTTGATAAGATTCAAGTTTTGTTGTATTAATAATTTTTTTTAGGATTGTACTTTCTTCACACGTAAAGATATTTTACGCCTTTACAAGCGCTTTTATGCGCTGAACCCTGTTAAAGTACCTACCAATATGCAAGGAAACCGACCGTCCATTATCACATTGTGTTTCGAGGAGATTGAAAAAATGCCAGAATTACGAGTATTATTTTCAAATCTCTAAATGCTACAGTCATATTAGAACAGATCGTAAAATCACAGAAAATTCTTGGCAAATACTTCTGAATTTTCAGGAAAATCCATTTCGACGACGCATTTGTCAAGTATTTTCCGACAATGGTGATGGTAATCTGACATTTGATGACTTCCTGGACATGTTTTCGGTTTTCAGTGAAATGGCACCTTTACAACTAAAACTAAAATATGCATTTAGAATATATGGTATATTGCCTTATCTTATGAAATCTTTAATTAATATTCTGGAATCTAATTTCCTTTTAGTACCTTTGTTCTATTTAAATTTTCAGAAGACTGGTTGTGTCAGTGAAAGCTTTTATAGATTTTGATGGTGATGATCAACTTGGTCACGATGACTTGAGCAAAATAATTCGTTGTTTGACACGAGATGAATTATCTGACGAAGAAGTTGAATTTATCATCGAGAGAGTGAGATTAAATGCTGTTATATTCTAAATGCTTTTATAAATAGCTAAATGAATACTGAGTTAATTTAGACGGCACATTCTATTCTCTTCTGGTTTTCCACTAATTTCTTCTTAGAAGACAATCTAGCGAAACCTTTTGCATTGTGCCAGGTGATGTCAGAAATTACAGCCAGAATGAGCAGACAAGATCTTCAGTACTTAATTCCTAACTGTGATCCACCACCAAAACAGATATTGCATTCTTTTTCCACTTTCATTGAATTTGCTTTCTGTTCAGGTAATCGAAGAAGCCGACCTTGACGGTGACGAACAGATATCATATGCCGAATTTGAACATGTTGTCTCACGTTCACCAGACTTTATTCGTACCTTCCACATACGAATTTAATATTGTTAGTAATCTCGACTCCCCATGTAGTATTTCGGAAACAGTGCTATGATACTTCATTTATCAAAAGTAGGATAACAAGCATGGAATGCAGCACAATTGTAAAAACTAGTATAACTTGCCATCCACCTGAATTATGACTGAAATCAGTCACAAATTGGGAACAAGAACCCAGCACTTTTCGATTTTTTTTTGCTTCATGTATTGTAAATTTAAATACAAAAATCTGGCTGTACATTTACAAACTTTAATTCTTTTCAAGGCTAAAATAGATCGTAATTTCCACAATAATCGATTTCCAAGTACGGGAGAGATGAAAATCTAAAAGTGAAAAATTAAGGATTTTGCAAATCTACAGTAGTTTGTATGACTGTGAAGACTCACTAAACATATTTGAATAATTTTGGGTTTTACTCAACTGGAATTGTGTTTTTAAGTATTAATACATTAATTCCATAAAATCATATGTAAGAAGTAACAATCTTATATAAACGAAAATACAATTAAACGAAAGTTTTTAGCAAAACATGAAAAAAAAGAGCAAAAATTTTGTAGCAAAATTTGTAAGCAAACTTTCCAATCAACTGCACAATTTGATTTTTTGTATGGTAACTAGATAGCTACAAATCCTTAAGGCTATCTAGTTACCATGCAAAAAATTTCATGAACAGAAAACATCTCACGGGATAGTATACATAAAGGACCAACACATACATAGTCTTTGAATTGTGCCTCAATAGGAAATGTTACCCGCATGCCTATTAAAAAGTGCTATAATAACCATTTTTGTAGAAACACTAGACAGAGTTTTGACTGTTAAAACAACGCACAGTTTTCAAGCAGTTCTGGTGAAGGACTCGATAAGAGGAAGATAAAAAACTTTTGTTAATTTTATGAAAGGTCTCATCCACCATGTTTAGTTTCCGCATTTTCATAGCCAGAAGAAATTCCCAAGCTGAAATGAGTGAAAATCATGAATTATACAAGAATCTACAACGTTAAGAGAAAAATAAAACAGAAAGATGCTACTTGAAAGTAATTCTGAAAAAAAAACTTTTCTGAATGACAGGTTTACACTGATGTTTCTTTCCTTTTCGTTAAATCATTGTAGAGAGCTAACGCTTGAGCAACCATACTACTCGGATTTGATATATCCGAAGGAATAATTATTGTGTTTGTGTCTTTAGCTAGTTGACCAAAAGCCGCTACGTATTTTTCAGCAACTGAGAGCGATGCTGCATCATAGCCCCCTGTTTTATTTAATGAGTCCGAAACTAATCGTATACTATCGGCTTGAGCCCGAGCATTAATTTGAATTGCTTCTGCCTGAAAATCACTGCATGATTCACAGTACCTTAAAAAAACATCACCCAACCGAAAACATGTGCATCTATTTTTACACTTCTTTGACACCATAAACAAAGAGCATTCATAAAAATATGTTACCAAACTTCTTAAACAACTCGTTTTTAAATATTAGCTACTGCTTTGCAAAACTGCTCTAAATACTCGAAGTAAAAAAAGATTCTCACATCATAGGTAAAATGAGAATTAATATTTTGGACTATCAAAATGCTCCTGTGTTGTGGCTTTATAAAAATTGTTATTCATGCATATATAATTAGTATGACACTGCTTCCAAATATACGTTACCTTTCCCTTGGCTTCATTTACTTTTTCTAACATCGAGGCTTCTGATGCCAAAATACGCGCTCGTTTCTCTCCTTCTGCGATATTGATAGAGGCTTCTCTCTTTCCTTCTGACTCTAAAATTGCAGCACGCTTCCGTCGTTCAGCTTCTACTTGCATCTTGAATTACTTTCTGACATCACTACTTTCAAATTTTGCTAGGAATAATAGCTTTTAACTTAAATCAATAATTTTAAGAACAAAACCAAAAAGCTTGATGCCTTAATAAATAAGTAGACACGTCACCACTTACTAGAAAACTAATGATTAGTTACAGTTATTTTTATCAGTAAACAGAATGATATGTGGTGCATTCTTAGTCCTCATTGCTATATTAAGGAGCAAAATGTAAGAATACATAATTTTTCTATCAAATGTAAACCTGCATTGCTTCCTGAATCTTGATTGGCATCGTCATGTCTCCTGAAATTAACAGAGCTTAAAAAAATAATGAATACATTAATGATGACTTAACACGGAAATTTCATTTGAATAATACTGCACATATTGTTTGATTAGCAAATGTAACATTTTGAATTTTCTAAAAATATTCGTCTTAAATTTGTAAGAAAGATTACTAATTTCATATCGCATACACTGTAATCCCCAAGGCTCGGCTGCTTTGTTGATTGACTCTATAAATTTGTACAAGAAAAATTCAGAAGGTCTGATAAATTTAATTTTTTATTAGCCTTTATTTGTCCTAGTAAAATTATTAGTTTAGCTTGGCAAAGTTTTATTTTACACGCGAAATGAATTTGGTACATAAATTTTCAACAAATAGATTGAAAATACCGGAACTCAACACTAATAGTTTCAAACAATATGTAGATATCTTTGAAAATCAAAACACCAAATATTATTATTACTAGCTTAACACAAACCCACAATATTGATGTTAAGCTGTTCACGTTCTTTGAAAACAGTATCCAGATTAATCTTGCCTACTTCTGAACGCATCGTTGTCTGCGCAAGCTGTGTGATCGCATATTCTGGATCTTCAACACCATAAGATGCCTGAAAACAATTAATTTTATACTGAAGTGATTAATCGTGAATAAAGGAACACTGATGAATTGTATTTAGAGATTTTATGAGCGTACTGAGCCATTTTATAAACAAATTTTAAGTATATGAAGTAAAACAAAAATCAAGAAATTAGAATTAAAGAGGGCTAAATGATTTTCAAGCATACTTTATACGGATCTTCTATTCGCAGATAAAGAATCCCATCGATTTGCAATTGCACATTGTCACTCGTCACAGCACCCTGTCGTGGTACTTCAATAGCCAGTTCTTTCAATACTTGGATATATTTTATGCGATCCAAAATTGGAATCAGAACATTGAAACCCTTAAGAACAATTAAACTACACTTTCTGAAGCTACGTATAACAACGTTTGAAAATTACAAACGCCAATATTTTGCAACTGCAATAGTGAATAAATATAATTTTCTGGAAGTGTTAGATCACAAGATGGGTACTAATTGCTGTATGCATTAGTCAGATTGATTCCCCTCTCAAGAAAAAATGAAAACAATGAAAAAATGGGCATAATCCTTCTTTTCCTTTTCATTATTATGAGAACTTGTATATTTTTTGATAGCATTTCAAACTGACAGGCTCTAAGATGGCATGGAACTTTCCCATACGCTCGACAATCCAAGCTTCTTGCTGTGGCACAAAATTTATGACCATATTAATTCTGCCACGAACAACTCCTCGTCGTTGTGTGACAAGCCATGAATTACTGCAACATAAGAAACATAATAAAGAACGTACGCAACCTAAAGCTAATTACTTGCAATGCTAAGGATTACAACGGATAGATTAATTTTCAGCGAAGAAGCCATATGGCAATAAAAAGGTTAGTTGAAACGTGAATAATAATCGTGTGCTTTTGAAAAACTAGAAACACTCACCTTAAAGTCTTCCGACCAATAAGCAACAATGAAGAAATTAACGGACACACACTCGAAATTTTTGATGACGTCATCAAGGCCATCCGCTGAAATTTGCAAACATCTAAAGAATTTTCGTAGAGACATATCAGAGGCTAAAGTTACTACTTTCAAAGTATTTCGCATGATTACCGATACCCTAAATATTTTGGTCCAAAAATCTGAACAATACTTAAGATAGGTTGACATCGCAACTTTTCGTGGCGGAAGAAGAAATGCGGCTACGGCCATATTACTGTTACCGGGAATGCTTGCTTGTAAAAAGAGGTAGCAGCAGTACAAAGAGATGAGGAAGGAACAGAGTTCAGTCTCTCCTAGTGATGAAGAATTATTGAAAGAACTCAGGACTGGTCAGACCTTCTTCTTAAAGGTATGATTGCTTGTGTGGTCATTATTTCTATTTAATTTTAGTGACCCTTGCATGGGTGCTTGCAATGGAAAGCTGCTTTTTTAGTATCTTGGATCGGTACAGCTGCTGGAGTCCCTGACGAGGAAGAAACCGGAGGAAAGGGACAGCTGTACAAGGTGAGCAGTTTTTATTCTTTCTTCATGTGAGTTGTTGTATGTCAGTTAATTTGCACTTATTTAGCTTTCTGCAAAGATGATCTGAATAAAGCAGGCTTGAGAATTCAGCTTTACCCGTTGTGTGAGCTCTCAAAACATTCAGTCTTACAATTTCAGACGCTGTATGTATGCTATATGTAATCAACTTGGTATATGCAATGAAAATTTGTTCGTTAGTGAACGGGTTTGTGAAGTAAGTACTATCAAATTCATGCAAGCAAGCGGTTATAAACTATGTAATACTCGTAGGTCACTTTGTTAGTCGATAAATAGTCTACTCTTTTGCTGCAATTTCTTCTACCTCTTTCTCATTGTACAATTTTGGCACTTCAGAACGAATACAATGCTATGATTTGCGTGTACTTTTTTGTAATCAATACTAATTGTAATGCTTAATGCAAATTGTTGTTGCTCGTAGTGCACTGATTTTAGAAATTAGGCCAAACGAAAATAGAAAATAAGCATGTTGAATTGAATGTTGCCCTTCATGCTTTCATAATTCTCGACGAAGATGGATTAAGAATTTTAGAACGACATCCCATTCATGTTATTTCTTATGCTTCATCTGGCGCAGAGGTTTTTCTACTTTTTTTTTACTCTTGTAATATTTCACATTCATTTCAGTGATGTATATGGAAACTTAATATCTCTCATAAAGCTGTTGTTGTGGATTAATAATAAGTTATCTCACCTTTTTTAAATGCATTCGAAATATTTTTTTTCTGCAAAATCGTATCACATCAAAAATTTCGAAGATAAAGTTGTTTAGTATATGTATATATAGAACGTGTCAAAAATGTTGATTTTATTTTGAAAGCTATACTTCAATATATTTCTAAAAACTTTTTAAAAATTTTTGTGTATTTCACGTAATTTATTGCTTATTTTGCACTCAATACATTATGTATTAACGCTAATCATAGGTTTCTGTGAATGTAAACAATCTCAGTCGTTATAGGAGAATATCAAAGGAATATTTTGTTTCGTCTCTCATCTTCAAGAATTTGGAAGACGATGTTTGGTATTTATGGAACCTGATAAAAATGTTGACTTTATTATGGAAACTATTCTTCATATATTCAGATTAAATAATAAAGGTTTTCATCGGAATATTGAGATAAAAGTGTTGAACTAATTTGAGTCGGAATATAAGATGTATTATCTAGCAAAATTTACGACAAATTAAAATAGTTTTTTTTACTCAGTCTCAGTGTACTATCTTATTGGTGTACTTTTTAAAATTATTAGCTTACATGTTCCAGAACATGAAACCGAGGCAAGAGTAATTTCAAAACCATTCGATAGTGCTTGTAATCAGGTTTATCCAGGTAAATCTATTGCTTGGATGTTACAGTATTTTACATATACTATATTTAGTCTTCAGTGTAGCATTTTCCATTTATTTTTACTAATTTATTTTATTTAACTTTTTATCAAATTACTCGTAAAAGTTGTTGATTTGTTTAATTATCACTGTTGACTAATGAAATCCAAAAATTATTAGCTTTACTTTTAATCGCTAAAACTGTAGTACTCACAATCACCATTTTACAGTCTCGTTTTGTGTAATGCTTGTAAATTTTTCATGCTGATTGAATGGCTTTATCAAGTAGTTTTCTACGCAGAAAATGCGCTGAGATCAAACTTACGAACATTCATTTTCAAAATTGCTTGAAAACTGATAGGGGTTTTTGACTTTTTTATAGTAAAATTAAATCCTAATGTAGCCACATCATAATGCGCTCAGTGGGGGCAAATTGCTATTTTATCTTTAGTGAAAATAAGCATTTTATTGTTCCAGATCATTTGTACATGAACATATGTAATTTACCGGCAGCTATGGGTCTTGATAGACAACCATGGTATCACGGTGAAATGGAGCGAGCTACTGCTGAATCAATGCTGCATCTTGAAGGTGATTTTTTGGTGCGGGCGAGCCCAAATACTGTGAATAATTTTGTGCTATCCGGCATTGCAAATTCAGTTGCAAAGCACTTTTTGTTACTAGATGAAAATGATCAAAAAGTAAGTGTTTGAAATAAAACATAATTTTCGACAATTAAAAAAAATAATGCATTAATTTATTGATGATCATCAAAGTTGTGGAAAATCTTAACATGAAATCTTTTTATTTAGCAAAAATTTCCATTAATTCTATAAATGTATATAATTGACTTTTTAATTTTCCGTAGGTGCGTAAGCAGCGACAGGTGTTTGAGACTATTGTCGAATTGATTGAATACCATCGGGGAGAGAATGTACCAATTATCTCGGAAGGTAGTGAATTGCATTTGATTCGTCCCATAATGAGGTTTGTCTCATCACTGCGCTGATAAGTGCACAGAACTAGAGAAAACATAGCCACAAAAGTTGGGGTGTGCTCATCGTAGTTCGTCTGACAAAAATTTGAGTTATCCTGCAAAAACTTTGTCAAAGAAAGGAGAAAGAGAGAAAGAAAGGAAAGCTGATTGGATTGGTTATATGTACTAAACCAGCAAAGGTTACCGATCGTCTGTTGACTCCTAATTTTCCTTTTATTCTTTATTTTTTATTTTAGTTCCTGCCATTATCATAATTATGATTTTTATTATTATATTGTGGCTGTCAGCATTGTGGATGGAGAAGAGGTAACTTGTTTGCCTTGTTGAATTACTCGATGCTGTTGGGACGCTGTTTAATTCTAGCACTCTTTATGTTACTGACTGTACATCCTTCATATTCTCTACACATTCTCGATACAAATGTATTGTGCGATCAGGTGAAATTTTGAAATATTTAGACTCTTTTTTTGCTGAAGTTTTTTGAAAATATCTAGAACTGGAATAAATTATTAGAGTTCTAGTTTGAAATATATCTTGCTTTACTTTCTACAGATTCATCTGTAAATTATAAAAAATGATAAATTTCAAATTTTTATGATCAGCAGAGTTTCAGCTTAGGCGGTAAATAAAATATAGGTTTTGTGATGCTTGATTGTATTTATTTCTTGTTTTTGATTTTCATTCAGCTTTAAAGTCATGTTACATATTGTTTTATTATTACAAAACATAATTGTTTGAAATGGTTATTTGGAAATTATCGTAATGAAATCTGTCCTTAATAAAACGTGAATTGTAATGAAGGGTATTTTACTTGTGAGGTTTTTGTGATCTCGATCTGATATTCTCTCGAAAGAAGAGAGTGTTGTTAAATTAATTATCGTTATTGGATCGCATTTGCCTCCATATCGATTGACAGCTTGCCAAGGTTCTTTCAGCAGTGCTCAAAATTCAGTTTTTTTCAAATTTTATGATTTGTGTGTTATGCTTATTATTTCAAAAATATCCGACTTTTGGTTTGAAATATATTATACAAACCGAGTGAATAATTAATTTTTTTAGAAATTAAAAATTGCTCATTTTCTTCTTAGCATTTAAAAAGTCATGGCTGTTTATCATATTACGAACAATGAAGAATCATTGAATTCAGCAATTTCCATATTGAGCAACACAATTGGGATGTGTGATACTTAAATTAATATTGAGAAGTTAATATTTTCTGTTTTGTGAGTGATGCTGAAGCTTTTCCTGGATTGCTTTCAACTTCGAATTTGATTGTAAACCATGCGATGCAATTAAGGTGTCAACAATAAATATCAGATAAATCACTGGTTATTGCATTTTTAAGCATTTTTGGGTTTTAGGGTTTTTGCCTTGCGCATTTGATTGCAGGTAGCGTTACTTATCACTTTTGGATCATTTGAACTTAACCAGTACTAATGCTTACATCAGTATTGAGTACAATTTATTATTAAAAATTACTCCGATTTCACACATGATGTAAGGAGAAAAATAGCTATGAATTATAAATTTTTTGATTGCAAATCAGATTTGGGTTTCTGATAACTTAAATGAGGTTAGTTCTATTGGATTTAAGATATCTTTATCATACTTTTCGCGGCTTATCGATAAATAGCAATTAGGGTGGGAATAATATACTGATCAGTATGTTATTACCAAATAAAGTTATGTATGACTCGGTGCTATACATGTAACAATATTCCATAGACAGATCTAAAGTGGAAATTCTCCTCTGAAAATACGTTTAAGCTGTCCTAAAATAAGTGAGTCTAAGAAAATGAAAAAGGTTTGAGAGAAGGAGCACTCTTGTCGAATAAATCCTCAACAAAATCATCCAGTCCTATTCACACAGCCTTCTAAACTTTATTTTCATGCTACATGTTTGAATCTGTAAGGATGTATGCTCATTTAAAAATAGTTCTTGCAGACAAAATTATTTTTAGACGAATAATCTTGACAGTCATGAAGTTTGATAATTTGTCAATCTATGCAGGAATTAATGTTGTAATTTGTCAAGCAATGAACATTAAAAGAGCAGAATGAAATTTTTTTGCTACAGCTGATAATATTGTCTAATTTGCAGAGCAATTTTGTGTTCAGTGTTCGGTTTGAAGAGCCTTTCCAAGGCATCATTTACAGCGAGAAAAGCTTTCCTAATTGCATTTATGTGAATGCATCAATTTTAACCAAATCATACTACAGCATAAAGGTAATCCAGACTTTCCCCTAAAAGTTTTTACTCGAAGACACTATTTAATAAGGATAATTGTAATGACAGTAGTCAGTAGTCAGTAAAGTGGAAAGATTTCTGTGCGATAATTATCAGAATATGCATCTTTAGTTGTAGCAGTGGAAGAAGTGAGTAGTACTGAACTGTGTAAAGAACTAAAAACTGCAGAATTTGGTTACATTGCAATGCAAACGGCATTTTAATTGTGGTAGGATTTGGTAGTTAAGTAGTTGATAATACTCACAGAAAAGTGGTTGCTGAAATTATTTTTAGAATTTCATTTGAAAGTAAATAGAGGAATAATTAGTGCATAATTCAAGAGGCCATTCATAAGGTATGGCCATTAATGGAATCATTTAATTTATCAATTCATAATTTGTGTATAATATAGAATCACTCAGTCTTTGAAGCGTTTTTTAATTTTGAACTGACATACTCTAAATTAATTATTCTTTTCTTTCTTTACATCTCTAATCTTTTCATTCAGTAAATTTCAATCAAGAAGAAGTTTACCGTAACTGTTTGTGAATTTGATTCAACTTCTTGTAGAATATCAAATTAATTATGAATGCTCCATGCTAGCATGATATCAATCACTTAGTTCATCTCATATAAATTCTGTAACTTATTTCTGCTAAAATCTTTTCAAATAACTTCACACTTATTTGAAGCATTTTTGACTTTTTTTAACCACTAAACTTTTTTGTTGTAATGAATATCGTCACTTTTTAAATGATTTATTACTGCTCCATGTTTATGTAGATACCTCTGGATGCATGTGAAACGAGCTATAATTCAGATGGTAATCTAGAAAATATAGTAGTTGTTCAAGAAAGTCCTCATTACTTGACCGAAAATGACAGAAAATATTTACTTACATGTGTTCCAGCCTCCACCACTCCCAGGTATATCATTAGTTTTTTAAGCGTTCTCAAATAATTCTAGATTTGCTCATATAGCAGTGCAAAAATGATATCTGAAAAAAAATCTATCAACTTCTTGAGACTTTTCTGCTCAAATTATCCTAAACAGAACTCGAGAATATAAATTCTGACTTTTTTCTATTTTTGTCCTCATTTAATTACTTCATTCAAAATGTGCCGATGGCACTCTGCTAGTAAAAATTAAGATAATAATTATGTAAGATAAAATTTTTAGCATTTTATCGGAAACAGTCAGTTTCGGTGGTATCACCGTAAACAGCGATGTATTTACAACAATTCATGCTACAGGCATTTCTGACTCACGAGTGCAATACAAAGTTGAGTTGAAGAAAGTTGATTCAGATGGTAGTTTGCGTTCACTTGATGGTCCCGTTCTTGTTGGTGATGAAATTGTAAGTATCATCTCTTAGTTTCAAACTACGGTGGTCCTATAAGTTCCCTGTAATTCAATAAAATTGTCCATAGAAATCACATAAAATTGTTAAGAGCAGTAAAGTCTAGATAAATCTGTCAATAAATAATTACTGCCATCGTGGTGGAACGATACTGCATTCTTTACTAATGAGATAGTGATTAAATTAAAAAAGTACATTTGATTACGTATACCTAATTTTAGGTCTACGTCATACGAGTAAATTCAGAAGCAGTAGATACTAGAATTGGTCATTGCTGGGCACGTGATGGTCAATCGACATTACAACTTTCAGACGAAGATGGTTGCAGCGTTCAAGATAGAAGTGAGGTTTGGAATCAGTTTGAACGTCAGAAACAAGGCGATGAGTTGATTTTCAAAAATCAGATCAAAGCTTGGGCTTTTCCAACGAGGTGCCTCATACTTGCTCTTCATTTTCATTCTTGCTAGACATGCTAAACTATTCCTTGACTGGAAAATTATTACTGCTAATACAATTTTTTAACATCTTTTTTTCAGTAAGCCAACAGTTCCAAATGTTATGTCTGATGTTATTACCTTTGGACCTGTTGCTTACTGAAATGAAATATGTCACAGTTGCGACCTCCCATATTAACCATATGTCTCTTATTCTAATTAAACTATTTTAAAAAAATCAAGCTCTTTATGAACCTAATTCAACCGTACGTTGCAACCTTTTTCTAGGATAAGTATATAGATTGTATTATTTCTGATGACTCTTTCGGAAAGAAAGTAAACTGTTGTGAATGCTTCTGAAAAGTTTAAGAAGTGAAAATAAGGCATAATTGATAAGTTTTCTTGTTCCTGACTTCACTGTTTAATACAAATGAAAATTATAATACTGATTTTCGTTACTGTATTTTATTAAATTTTAGCAATGAAGTAAACATATTTTGCAATCTGCATACTTGCCGTGTTGCGTGCTTTCACGTTTCTTGCTCAGAACGGAGGTTCCGTCGGAACGTAACGGCTGTCGAATATGAAGAAAATGGCATGATTAAGATGATAAAAGCTGGTTTATTTGTCCATTCTGGAGGAAAGAAATGGAACAGAAGAAAGTTCGCCTTGTTTTTATATTCATCAAATCTTATTTTCTGTTAATGTCATGTAGTTTCAAATATAAATTTTTAGATAAGGACGATTGCAGCGTTGAAGATGAAAGTGAGGTTAGGAATCAGCAAAACAAGGCAATGAGTTGATTTCCAAAAATCAGATAAACTTATATTTTATATATATACTACAAGTTTTTCTGATTTTTAAGCTTATAAATATGTAATATATGCTTAAACGCGTGTTCTGCTTTTAATATATTCTAATACATAATAGTTTTGATTGAAACAAACACTTCTTCGTTCTCACACTACAGTAATGCTGTTCAACCAATCACTACAAGTAAATTTTCGCATAAATAAATTTATTTAAACATAAAGTGCTGAAGCTAAGAATAAGCTTATCTTTACTTTGTTCTTGTTCATATATGAAATTATCTGATTCCTTGCGACCATTTATTTTTTTACGATGCTTAGAAATATACAGTTTATTCAATTGCATTTGATTTCATTTAAATTTTATTAATATTCACATAATTTAACTGATTAAAAAAAACTAAATCAGGCATTTTTATAGAAAACATATCATATTTTAAATTCAGTCACTTTTATGATTAAAATAAAATTTTGCATGTAACTCAAACACGAAAAGCATTTACATTGCAAAGGCATATAATTTACTAAACGTTTAAAAATTTGAGAGAAAATTTTTTGAATTGAATATGTCTATTTTTAAATAAGAACAAGGATTTTTATTATTCGTGAAAGATGAGTGTCACATGTGCTACTTAATGAACTAAATTTTCAGAATTAAAAATAAGTAAAAGTGTTATTGCTTCGAAAAGATTGATGATGGATGGTTTGTTTCAATGGAACAATGTTTAGCATTCGAAAAAAAATTTGTAATTATTTGCATGACTTTTTAAATTAGTTTTTGTAAAGTGACGATAATTGACTTGTTTGAAAATTACTTTACTCTATAACACTTCAACTGCAAGAAAATTAAGTGCACAATGTTACTATTATTTCTATATTAACTCAGATAGAATTTGTATTATACTTTCAGTTACGACAATCTCTGATTTTCAAATAGTCTTTCTTGTTCTTTTGTAATTCAATTTCTCTTAAGGTTATCAAAAATTAGGCATTCTTTCGCAAAATACACAATTATGATAATCGCAAGTATAATGATGCAAATTCTGTTGAATCAGACTTATCAAATTAGGCAATATCTGAGGCTTAAAATTTGTATTTGAGTGTAAATTCTTGAGAACAAAATGACTCAAACGTGAGACAGTCAGAGAATTCATTTTTATAAGATGCATTATTTATAAATGCAATTAGTCAATGTTATGAAAATTTTTTATCGTGAAAATTGGTGTAAAAAATAGTCATTTGGATCACTTTCAACGGTTGGAAATCAAAAAAAGTAGTCACACTTTTACTAGCATTCATTTTGTTCTGCAACTGCGGAATAAATTTGCGAGTTTTGAGTATGTAAGCACACCTAAAATTGTTTTTAGTTCCTGTTTTATTTTAGTTTTGCTCTTTGCTTCACTTTGTTTACTATATCATTCAAAAATTTGATTTTGGATTTAATTCAAAAAACAAGTTCGATCTGCAAAACTGATGCTACTTCATTTTGCAAATTCAGCTTATTAATCTCTTCTCAAGATTCTTTTTATTTTCACCACTAATTCTTTTAGTTTAAATATATACATTACAGTCTACCATAAAGATTTACAAGATTAAAATTTCAGAAAGCCTTGTACAAATACTTATACTATACTAACAATATTTTGTTTGAAAAATTCTCAAATCTTTTTTATTTTTTTTTGAGATTTTTGTTGAAAGTAAAATCAGTCAATAATTCTTTAGAGCTGTCCATTAAGAAAATCACTTTGGGAATTCAGTTAAAAGGCATTGTTAACGAGTATTTTTTCACATTATATATTTTCCTGTACTGCATATAGTGGATGGTAGATCTTTGATTTCGCTACTGAAACATTCGGATTATATAATTTCTTAATTTTATTTCTTTAATGTTTTTCTAATACAATTTTTTTGTCACTTATTTTTCAAAATTGTGTTATGATAAGTGTAAAATAAAGAAGAAAAATAGAGAATTTCAGAATAACTGAATTATTGTACTTTTTTAAAATAAATAAACGTTTTTGTTTTATTTTTATTCCGTCATTTACTCGAATTATGAGATAAATATGAAGATAATACGAAATATTTATTGCAAACGAAGTCAAGAGAAAATGTTTGCTTCGACAATAGCATATGGTAATTACTACAAGTTTTTCTCATCAAAAAAGTGGAATTAGCAGTTGAAAAGTTACAGAAAGCAAAATAATCGTTCATACTTAAACTTTGATTGTTGATTGATATTTGCACAAGTATTTGCTGCTAAGATAAATGCTACTGACATAGAAGACATCTTGCTTGATCAGGAAATAATTACTATTCATTAGCGTCATTTTTGTTCATTTTCAACGCATTCAGTGAAAAAATATTTGCTTAAATGAAAATCACACGAAAAAAAAGAGATTAAAACGAGTTTCACTGGCGTTAATTTTGAAATAATTAAAATTATTAGGAACAGATCTCATGGTGGTTGAACTGGTTTTTAATCCATCATCTTACCTAGCATTTGAACTGAATGCAATCACAGATGCATCATTTTGCCTTCAGGAATGTAAATAAGAGTACACTATATTATGGTAACAAGTTATGCTTGATAAGTTGACAAAAGTTTCAGTATTCTTATCATACTGAAACTTTTTTACCTATTTAAATTTTATTTGGAAGTAGAAAAGTAAAATAAAGCTTCGAGCAAGGTCATATAAAGAAGTGATGCACTAGAAATCACTTACAGCATCATTGTCAAAGTAATTTAAAAAAGTCGAATTTTGATTACATCAACGTAAAAGAATTAAAGATGAAAGATTCACTTCATTAGCATTCAAAATATCGAAAAATTATTGAAATCGTGTTTGGAAGTCATAAAAAAATTTTCAGCAGTTTTTTGCAAGAATATTATCGAATCTTTTTGAAGAATATTCAACTAAAGAAAAATTACTTGCTTTTTGTACAATGTTATGAGACGCAGGATTTGTTGATCGTGACCGGCCTGTATTTCTAAATATTAGGTGAGACCCATTTAATGTGTAATAAAAAAAAAAACTAAATATTGGATGCTTCATTTATGTTTGATTAATATTCAATGAAATAGGACTGTTTAAATTATGCAAATTAAAATTTATTCGGATATGATTCTAAAATTAATTTAGCGTATAAGAAAGGTCGTAACATTTTTCTTAATACTTTTTTTTTACTTTTACTTTTTCAGCATTTCAACAATACCATGATCAGTGGTAGATTACATGTAAAAGAACCTGATGACGTTAAGATTATAGCCAGCGAATCTGAGAAGAATCAGAAAAAGATTTGCACATCATATTGTAACTGGTTCTACAAAACAACAGTGATATTAATCTCATCTGCAATTCACGTCTTTTTGTAAAATTTGAATAATTTTATAAGATCAGTTCTGTAAATTAAGATTCAGTAAAATATTTCACTGGATTCTAAAAAGTCTAAAATTCCCTATAAATTGAATTTGCTTACTTAATCAATTCCATTAAGATTTGCATTAAATCTGTCTGCAAGTATTGTTTCATGAAGTTTATTTGAAAATTCTGTTGATTGAGCATCAAGCACTTGACATGTTCTACGCTGTTTTTTTGCGTCATACAATCACAAATGAAGTGTTATGACTAATGAATCAACCAAGTTATTCATATTATTCCGTTTAATTTCAATTAATTTTCAAATTTGCTCAAGAATACCAAGGTTTTCCTTGATTTCATACTTTTAAAATATTATAATAGACTTTTGCCCCAAAGAGTTTTTGAATTTTCGTCGGGAATTGATTGATTCATTATTGGGTTCTAAATTAGTTTTACTGTTTTTAATTTTTTGATGTACATTAGAATTGGTCACTGTGGATAAAGAATACACCGTGTTTTGTGGGTACTTCAAAAATCAAGTTATTAATATATTATATGCATATAACTGGTCAAAAATATAGATTTAAACTTAGATTAAAAAATCTGAATATAAATCAGTATCTCAATATATGAAAAAAATTTCTAAATTTTTAGTGAGTAACTTCATTGGTTAAAACTCTCAAATAAAATGGAAAGAAAATCAGTTTAATGAGGTGAAAAATTTGCAAAAAAGTTTCATTTTAATAATCTTAGAACTGAAAATTGATTCTGAAAATTCAAAAATGAATTATTAGAAAAATGATTTTGTTCTTGAAAATTGATTTTTAAAACTGAAAATTGATTCATTGGGATCAAATTTATTCTCGTTTTATCAAAATAAGTAACAGTAAATAAGGCACTATAATGATAAAGGTGATGAAAAATTGGAGCACATTTGTGTATCATTAAAGCATTATATTGAATTTGGTAATGCCAGTGAATATTAATAATATTAGCAAAATCAGTGTGAACCGTAATTCGGCATTTCATTTTTAGACTGCAAATACAATTACATCAAATAAAAAACTGATTAATGTAATTACAAATTGAAATGCGTTGCAGATCAGTCTTTGCATGATGTTTCCTTATCATGTGTAAAGTGCTGAATCAATCAAGTTTAGCTGGTTTTTTGGCGGAAATAACGTGTTTTGGAATTAAAAGGATAAACTTGTTCAGAAATAATACTCATCCTCTTCTTTTTCTGCTTCGCTTCTATATGAAAATGAAAGTTCTGCGTGATCAGTAAACATGCCATCAAATATCATATTTTTGTAAAGCATTTCAAAAAGGATGAATAATTCTCTCAGTAATACTGGTAGTACCGTAACAAACATAGCACTTTTCTTACAATAGACCAAAAATTTTTTTTAAATATATATAATAATTATATAATTAATTTATACTACGACATTTTTTACAATTTTTCAGCAAATTTCAACGATTTAATTTGCTAAAATTAAATATTTTGGTCCATAGGCATTTTTTTCTTGCTTTTGGTTAATGGATATATTTTCAAGTTTCAAAAATAAAGTGAAAAACGCTTTTTGATAGAAACAGCTAAATGTTCGTTGAGTTGCAAGAATTACATATCACAAATTGAAACCACGGCAAGTCAGTCTATGACGAAGCCACAGAATCGGCAAATGTTTGACTCAAAATTTGTTTTTCATAGATATTAATTTTAACTCTGAAGTCCATCATCTCAAGAGGAAAAGGAAAAAAATGTTATTATTAATGCAGCTAATACTTCATAAAAGTTGTTAATGATATAATAGTTCTGAATGATTTATTCTCATAACGTATGCTACTAATAAGCATGCTCATCCACGCAAGAAATCCATGTCACTTTTTACATTGACATACTGAATAAATATTCTAGCAATGAATGTAATGGAAGTGTTCACAGCATGTATTATGCATTTACCATAGACGAATTTGATGAAAAAAATGGTAAATTCTGCTATTAATAACTTATCGAAAAGCTAATTAATACTAATACAATTTGTATAAATAATTTTTATACAAAATTTGTTTTTCGTAGTTATTAATTTCAACCGTGAAGCAAAAAAAGGAATGGATATAACTACTAGTGCAGCTAATACTGAATGAAGTGCGCCCTGATAAGCATCTGAAATGTAGTCTGTATTCAAGCACTGAGTTAATAATTTAAAGCGCAGAATTCTTTCTTCTTTGATGGCAAATGCAAAATTCAAATGTTGCCGATAGTGTTACCGCTGAGCAAAAAGAATTATTTTTAAATGTAATGCAAGTATTGGTGCTTCTTAAGAACAAGCTAAATAGTATATTCATTCTTCCTCATTTTAGATGATAACTGACAACTTTCGAGTTCTCTCAACTAATCTCGCTGTCGAGTTAGTGCTATTAGGTTTAATTCACTAAAATCAAGCACTACTATGCGTTACAGTAACTTTGTTTATATAATAAGCTGCAAGCTATCGTTTTCATCATTTGCATTCACAATTCCGCATTCCACACCTCACAATTTCATCTGAGGGATTGTCTTCAAAAACCGGCCGGCATATACTACTACTACTACTACTACTACCACTACTACCACTGCTACTACTATTACTACTACTACCCTGCACTTATTCTTATTTACTGCTGTCACTAATGCTTTCACTGGTACTGTTTCTACGACTATTACTGCTACTATTATCAATTAAAAATGTCACAACCATTAATTCATTCTTCCTCTATCCTTCGCATTTCTTCCCATATTGCTCGCACACAGATTTTACTTCTCAAATGCAACCATTCATTCATATTATTTGCATTTGAACTAACCAGTTTTACATAGTCAATCAATAAGTAAGTAAGAAGACCGATTGAACTGAACTGAATTAAATTGAATTAAACTAATCAAAATGAACTGAATGAAGGAGAATGAATAATAAATAGTTAAGTTCTACTACCACCTAACTAACTGTTCATTGCACTGCATTTCATTTCATGTTTACTTTACGTGATATAAAATAATTTGCAGACAGTAAAAGTTGTTTTCAAAAAGGTTGTCAGCTTCCCATTTCTCGTTTACCATCTCAATAGGTACAGCACTACGAACTTCTTTTTTTTGTCTAAAATAGCTTTTTTTATTTGGAACGCTTTTTTAGTGATTCCCAGTACCATCAAAAAGCATCAGTTTTCTTCTGCAGTCAAATCGCTCGCTTGCTTCATTTTTGCTATTCTCGATATAACTTTCCTTGAAAGACACAACATGAATCGACACACCTCTAAGAGATATTCAAATACCAATCATCCTACGATTTTGTCCAGTGTACCTAATTTATTTACTATAAGGTAGATAGTTTGCTTCATTATGATAAATAGTTCTACATATGGACTTCATTTTTTTGTTTACGAGATAAATCTTGGTATTTTGCTTGAAGACCTGCATTAGTAATTGATGAATGCGTTTCTCGATCATAATCATATCTTGTTTTATTTGAATTTTGATGCAAATTCCTATAGTTAATTTGTGAATGATAAAATGAATGCTCAACTTCCATTCACAATAAAATGAATAAGAAGATGAAATTTTGATTTAAATAGGCATTGTATGGATTAATTTTTGAGTAAAAGTTGATTCGAATAGGCCTATTTTCATTGTCTGAATTTTAATATTTCGTGAAATTAAACGATTTGATAGGTATTCTGTAAACGATAAAATATTCTACTTGTGCAGTTTACTTGCAACATTTGCATTATTTGTCATTTTAGTAATTTAGTTCGCTATCTCAGCATCCAAAGATTTTTCTTGTAAGCACCACATTATGTTGAATGAAAATATCTAATCTACAGGTGGAATTTGAATATACTAGTTCCTAATTACACTGATAATTGATATTTTTATCATATGAAATATTAGTTTGTTTCAGTAGAAAGTATGTTCGCATGTTTTAGAAAAATTTCTACTCTTTTACCTCTGTATTGTTACTTTGATAGCTTTTTAGGTAATTGAATATTTCAATTATGTTTTTTTGGAGAACAGGAAGTCTACGACTGCACTGGGTGGAATGGAATTCTCAAAAATGTCACAAATATACTATTCAAATTTGTCCGTTTGGCTCATCAATTTTTATGTTGATGGTTGTATTTACTTGCGTTATTAACTCCGTTGATAGTGATGCATTTACTGAGAATTTCACTGCATCTTCAACATCTAAGCCTATCATTACGACCTCTGACTGCATTAAACACAAAAGGTAAACATAGCAGCAAGTTTTCTATAATCCGATGATTCAGTCATTTTACAGTTTTTCGATTGAAGCCGGAAACCGAGGAACAAGTGAAATTTCTGTATGACATGTACCTGAACAATACTAAGGTAAGCGGAAATCAAAAATTTTTTTCCATTTCATCTATAAAAGTGCTGCATTAAATAGCATCTAAAAATTCAAATCCAATGAACTTTAGTCAAAAATTGCAATAATTTTAGTAATTAAATTCTTCTACAACTTTTTTTCGACAAATTTTTATTGAAACGCACTTATAAACTCGAATGAATGGTTTTCTGATTTAAAAAAAACGAGTAGTATTCAATACGCTCTACAAAAAGTTGGTACTGAAATAAATGAATTACGACATGATGAACGCAGATGTATGCTAGTTATCTGTTCGTCTTGATTGGCACTGCCATATATTCATAATGCCAGAAGCTTTTTAGTTACACTGATAATTGATGTTTAAGAGACCAAAAGTGCTTTAGGAAAGATTAAGTTCAGTAAGCTTAATCAAAACTTAATTTTTCACTGCCATGACTTCAAAAACATTATTGCAGATCTCGTTAAAAGAATTTAATTAAATTATAGTTGATCAAATTTTGATTTTTTTTTTGCACAATGCAAAGTAATAGCATAATTAATAAGGAATGTAATGACGAAAATACATAGATTCAATTTATTTATAGTTAGAAAAACAATTTTCTACCAAAAAATGCTCAGTAAAAAATCGTCCTAATTGAGTTTTACTTTTCAACTATATCTTTAAAGTTCCTTTTGCCCTGATTTTGTCCATTTAAAACATTAAAATTTTGGCAAAGTAATGTTTTTGATAAAACCTTTCTATAAATTTTGTTCTAATCAACATTTAAAAGTCATTTCTTATGTTTAAAGTTTACTCCATCACAATGCCTTCATTGTAAAATGCCGCGCGAAATTATATTAAAATATACTTGAAAAGTTTTACATGACTGCAAGAAAATCACTTTTCAACGAACTGAATTTTAAATGATACTAAAAAGGCTTATAAAGCCTAAAAAAGTCATAATACGCTTAAATTCCTCAGGTATCAGCTCAGAGTTTATTTTTGAATTGTGTCTATTGCATACTGAATATCTGCTGCATGCATAAAATTGTTTCAAGTTTAATTTCACTGAACTTTTTACTTACTTTTGAAAATTGACAAATTTTATTTCAGTTTGATTTTTGGAAAGCACCCCAAATACCAGGAGGTCAAGTTCATGTCATGGTTGAAGAAATGTTACTGGACAAATTTTTGACATCATTGCTGAAGCATAATATATCTTACACTATCATGATTAAGGATGTTGAAAAGTTTATTTTATTTTATTTTTAGTCTAAAATCGCGTTAAAACATGCTTTTTCTAAGATTAGCTTTCAAAAGAAAAGCGGAATTTGTGCTTTGGAAAAAAATTTTATACGTTTGTTTACATAACTTAAAACATCACTAATTAACGATGTTTTTATCTAAATTTTTCCGATTCACTGCATTTAAATTTTTAGCATATTCGAAAAGCCTCCTAATTGATGAAAGTCAATTACGATCAAAACCCCATTAAATTTCAATTTTAACAATTGAGCTAAAAATATTGAAAATATTTGTAAATTCTCTTTTATTTTAATAAAACTAAAATAAAAGTAAATTTTTTTCCTCTCTGTACGATAATAAAAAATTTGCTTATTTGGCATTCTTAAAGCTTCTTAGCAAATATAGATCTCAACATACAATTGAAACCCAAATATTTTTTTTTGTTTAATTGGTATCAGTTTTTAGTTCACTTTTATATAGCATTTTCATCTGAAGTTAATATCCAAGCTAAAATTTGCTCCTTGATTATGGTTATATTTGTTTGTCCTATGCACCTGTTGATCATTCCATTTTGTCAAAAAATCTAGAGATTTTTGAGATTTTAGAAAAAATTTATGACCAGTAATTTTATATTTCTCTGAAGGTTTTGTTGAACAAGGCAATGATACATACATACATTCATAAATTTAAGACTCAAATTAAAAGACTCTGAAAAAACTGAAAAAATTATGTTTGCAAATATAATGGATTGTATTATCCGCAACTGTGCACTTATAAGAAATCTCTCATTACCAAATATCATTCATTAAATTACTGAAAAAAATAGCAAGAGATATTTGATAAATTTTTGCGATTAGTTTTCACAACACTGAAGATGATTTGCAAATTGTTATTACCTTAACAACACTGCAGGAAAATAATCAAATTGCAAGAATCGGCGCAAAGTCGCCCTAAATCGCATTGGCTTCGTGACGAACCATTTCTGAGGCGACAAGTTTATTTGAACTTGGCAAAGTACCATTCCTATGATCGTATTATTAATTACCTCAGTAAGCTATCAGAAGTATTTGCTGATCGTGCAAGAGCAATTTCAATTGGTACAACTCATGAAGGACGAAAAATTGCGTTAATCAAAGTAAATTAATAGATCACTTTCAGAAGATCGTCTTCTCAACTTATCAAAAATATGTAATAAATATAAGAAAGGATGGAAATTGACTTGACCTGATCATAAAATATCCAAAAAAGTCATGCATTTTGTAGATCAAATTAACTAACTTTCACCAACTTACAGATTGGGAAGCCAGCAAAATTTCAAAAGCCCGGTATTTGGATTGATGGTGGTATCCACGCTCGTGAATGGATTTCACCTGCAGCAGTACTGTACATGATCAGCCAAGTAAGTTGCTTAAATTTTAATCTCTCTTATCAAAACAAATATTTAAGTGAAAGCAAAATCTAGAGATACATTTCCCAAATGACTGCTGAAAAGATTATATTCCAAGTTTGTCTTTCAAATGAAAGTCACTAATGAAAGGCATTTAGTGAAAATATCAGAACTGCGGTATTAAGTAACTGCTTGGAAGGAACCCAGCTTTCTAGAAGTTGGTAAATCTTCAGCTTTTCGACAGATACTGATTCTTACTCAAAATGTCTTCAACAAATATAAGCCGTCTACATTCTTGTAGAAACAAAAAGCACTGCATCTCAGCCTGTCAAATAGTGCTGAATGACTTATTTTCAACTTCTTTATCCATGAAAACAACTGATTACTAATAAAGTGTTATTTTTCATCGAATTTTGAATTTTCCTTAATTTACACGTTTAAACTTATCATTCATTTTTCGATACATCTGAAGTATTCTATAATTCATATTGCGGTAGCATAATAGTTGATCGATTCAAAAAGTTAATCACATTTATTAAGGTCATCATCAAACAACTACAGATATCTTTATCAGAGCATTTATTGTATTGTAATATAAAATAGTGTCGCAATTTTTAGTCCATCTATTTATGATTTTTTCAAAATAGATCAAAATGCGCAGATTTTCCAAAACTTTCATCACTTAAGTGAGTCTTCAATGCTCAAAAAAGAAAAAATACTGTTAATATTTTTATGAGCTTAGGAGAGAATTGGCTATATCCAATTTTTTATTGTCAGAAATATCAAAATCGAATTAATATTTTGTGTCCTTTTTTTGAAATGCTTCAAATGATAATTTTTTTGATTTTCAAATTAAATTTATTATAAAATAACGAAATTATACCAAGCTCAATTTCACTTCGCAAAAATTTGCTCAAATTTTGCAACTTACAAAACATCATCTATATCGTATTATTTTTAAAATCTTTCAAATAACTAATTAAATCCTAAGTAACTGTAAATGATGCAATTTGCACTCTATACTTTCACATTTTGCTTGTTTCTGCAATTTCTTACTCGAATGAAACCACGCCTTACTTCAAGCCTTGCTTTTAAGATACTTAATATTATTTTCAAACTAAATGAAATTGAACTAATAGCATTTTTTATAATTTTAAGAAGCGAAGCACAAGTTTTTTAATCGTACAAAAAATTAAAAATTTGCAGTTAGTAACAAAATATGATTCTGACCCGCAAATTCGGAGATTCGTGGATGAAATGGATTGGTACATCGTACCACTGCTTAATCCCGATGGTTACGAATATAGTCGCAGCAGCACTCATCCAGAAGTTAGGTTGTGGCGTAAAAATCGGTCTCCTTCAATCTGTCAGTTCTCACGTCACGGTAAATTCTCTAATGCTCTTTTGCTTAAAAAAACGGCGTTAATCATTCCATTTTTACTTAAAAGGTATTTTCTTATTGCTAATTTGTTAATTTCATCGCAGTGAGTTAATTTTCTGCATTTTCTCTAAATGTTTCATCAGCACAAAAAAGTTTTTTTTTTGATTTTGATGTTTCCTTCAAGTAATCCCATTTTTATTCTGAGATTAAATAAGTAGAGAATAAGAAAATTTATTGTCCAAAGTTGACGTAATACATTTATACGCAACGATTAAAATTCATTACGTATCCAGATAAAATATTGGATTCACAATTAAATATTTTCACGTACTACGCACACCATATTGATCTGAAACAACTGACCTTTTGCAGTGAAAAAGTACTACTTTTTAAACAAAATTAGTTTAAAAAAATAGATAAAGGAAAATGCCATTTAAGGGCATTTTTCAATACCACAACGAAGATGCTGTCAAGGTGTCGACTTGAATCGTAACTATGACTGGCAGTTTGGTGCTGAAGGCTCGTCAAAGAATCCTTGCTCAGAAGTTTATCAAGTAAATACTTGACTGATAAAATATATTTATTTAACTGGTTCGCAATGCACACTTACGTGTATCCTATTGAAAATTTATACATATTTTAACATCTCTCGTCATAATTACTTGCTTCAGGGTCCTTACGCATTTAGCGAACCAGAAACTCGTGCGGTGCATGATTTCATTGCTAAAAGACGTCACAAAGTGAAAACATTTTTGACATTTCATAGTTATTCGCAGATTTTAATGTACCCATATGGACATCGCGTAAGAACATACACGTCTGATGTTGGCGATTTGGTTAAACTTTATGCATTTTCGTAATAGTTTTTTATAAACATCATCTAAATTTTAATTTCAGTCTTCATCGAAATTGGTCATTCTCGTTGACATGTCTCGTTGATTTCTCCAACCGTTTCTGTGAGCACAGACGGTCTGTGATACTTGTGATCATAGAATTCACTTGCTTCCTCAGTTCTTCGACGGTAATTATACCCAAGAATTTCTCGTTGGGAACGATACAAAGGCCATCCCTCTCTCGGCATCCTCCGAAACGGTCAATAACCGCCTTCAGCCCCAGCCAGCTGCTCTGCGGAAACTCGATTGCTCGAATGAGTACTTCAAGCGTAATCATCTTGCTGGTTCTGGTTCCAATACACTGGCAGAGTGCTCTCTTACATCTTTCACGGAGCTTTTCACAACTTCATCTGTTTCCCAGTGTTTTCTACTCTGATTCAAAATGCGGATTTTTCCCTCATTCTCCATTTTCTTCTCAGACTTCTGATAACCTGACTGCAAAGCAACTCAGCAATCTTCTCTTAGATTTCGAATTCTCTCTGCAACAGTTTTTTCTCCCTGTCTAATATTCCTATGCGTATCATTCTTCTTTATCTTCTCTTGTTTCGTCTTAATTCCTTCTGAACAACAGGTTGCATGAGCATTATCGTTATGGTTCAGTACTTTTTTTCGCTTTTTAGAAGTGGCCTGTGAAATAGAAGGTTCTTCTAGAACGTTAGATAACTGTTTTGGTTGACTGAGGAATGTTCTGTCGTTTTACAACATTTACACTGTTCTAGCGTCGTTGACTGTCATGCCATTACGTTTGTTGTTGCAGTTGATCGTACTATTATTTCCGTAATTTCCCTCCATAGTCTTATCATGCATCGCCAAACAATTGAAGGTAGAACAGAGAATAGATAGAAACCAGAAATAACGAAGAAATACTGCGCTTCTTTCAAGACTAGCTCCAGTGTATCATCTACAATTGCCTCAAACCTAGATTATATATATATATATAAGTAGTTTAATCAGTAATGTTGCTCTTCGAAATGAAAATTCGTGAAAGTGGAGAGGCATAGTTTTGTAGGAATAAAATGAAAAATATGTTGATGGACGTTGGTCCAATTCTGAAAATTACTATTGCAGAGAAACACCGCACTTCAAGCTGCCAATGCTTTACGCGCTGCATATGGTACAATATATTCGGTCGGTACCGGAGCAGATACTTTGTGTTAGTTCAAACTTAAAATTAGAAAAGCAAAGCAAATTGATCATACAGTTTTAACTTTCAGCAATATATCAGTTCCGTTGTGCATTGCAATCATTTTTAGTTTTTTAAAACGTTTCCTTTGAAATTCATTCATTTTTCGTTTGTTTAAAATGACCGAAATCAGTACAGATTGAAATCAGATTTCTACAACTTGTCTATATAATGGTACAGTTCATATTAAAAACATAATACAGCATTGAATTCATGTTAGGAATTAAAAATGATAAAACTTACTAGAATTAAGAGATGAGTCAGGAAAACTATCCTTCCTTCAAAGTCAAGTAGATATGAATAACTTTCTTCGGTCTGAGAGATAGTTTTTAGATCCAGCTTCTGGTGGTGCAGAAGACTGGGCCAAAGGTCGAATGGGAGTGAAATATTCGTACTTATTTGAATTGCGTCCAGAAGAACAAGTTTGGGATGGTTTCTTACTGGATGAAAGTCAGGTAACAATAAAAGAAAGTAAAATCTTTAAAGGTCATATCTCAAAATTTCTGTGAATACTGTTCCAGATTAATTTATTGGCTACACAAATTTAACCTGTTTATCCAATTTTTGACTTATGTTGAAAATAATTATTGATTTGTTTATTGAATTATCGTCGAAGTTCATTTTTTTTTCACATTTCAAATACTCAGACTTCGATACATTTATAAATTTTGTATACCAGATACTACCAACTTCACGTGAAACATTCGAAGCAGTAAAAGTGATCGCAGATCATACACTAAAAATGTTCTCATCTCAAAGTCTGACTACTGTTCAGACAAAAGATTCAATTACAGGGGTATGAACTATATTTGAACAATGAAATTTTTTTATGTAAAAAATCGTACCAATTCTTGTCCAGTGGATGGATATGATTAAGTTTTAACAAGATGGAAGGCTAATGAAATTTTGCATTTAATTTTCATTTTTTTACTGACTAAGAAAAAAAAATTAATGAGTTTTCGCCCATTTTTTTACTTTGCTTCGAGTTATGAATTACGTCGTTTAACACTGCATTATTAAAAATTATAACTTGTCAAAAGTAAATCATTAACGTTTGTAGTTTGACCAGCGTAGCCCACTTGTGTTTATCTTAAAAAAAACGTATCAATGCTTTTTCTGGCAGTAAACCAGTAATATAAATCCTTTTAAGAGATCAAACATGATTATTCAAACTTTTCATCCGTCTCACAAGTTTAAATATCAGCAAGAAAATATTCAGGCTTGAAATTTGATTGAGAACTAAGTGCGAAAAAATTAGTGTCATTTTTAAAAATTTAACTATACTTATATGTATATTTGTTAACGTATAAATGAAGGTAGGTTTCTATATATAACTAACTATACATTTCATGCTAATCCTTCATAAAGCAGCATATCATCAGTCTCATGATTATTTTTGATATTTTTAATTTTTTAGACTGTCTATAAGTCTGGCATATTTAGTGAGCGTGTTTATAAATAACAATATTTCATTTGAAAGTAATTAATACCAATTTCTTAAATTTATGTACCACAAACATCTTTCATTTCCAGTCTCAGCAATCAGTACATTACTACTTAATACTATTTGTCTCAGTTAGAACTTTTTTCGCTCTCACCAATTTGTTTTTAAGTGTCTCATCATCAAAAACTTGTAGCATTGTTGTCAAAGCTTCTGTCTTTTCAATTTTTGTGATTTGAAGATTTCCTTACTGACATTTCAGTTTCTAAGGCCCATAGTGAGTTCTGCATCCTAAAAGGATTTATGTTATGGTTTTACTGGCAGAAAAAGCATGCTAACAATAAAGTAATGCTGGAATTCCCAAACTCAAAAGTTCTGCTGCCATTCCTGCAGTTTCATTTAAAATTTCTTTTAAGGCTTGAAAATTGATCCCCTTCTGTTTAGCCTTCACCAGGGTTTCATGTAGATCTTACAAAAATTAGCATGTATTAAATCTGTTGAGCTATAGTTAGGTTCAAGGTTTGCTGATAAATTGCTTTTTCTTAGTGTTAAAAACAAGTAGTGGAGGAAGAAAAGTTAGGAGGAGACCGAAGTGAAATTATTTGATAGTCTTAGATTTGAATATCATTTGCATCTTTTTTTTAATCCTATTTATCACAAATAATTTGCAGTTCTTACGACCAAATTTATGCTTTCTAGAAAATATACTTTCAAAAGGGCTGCGCAGTGAAACTAATCTCTAATTCCTTCAAAAGTGAAATTTGGAAGAAGATGCAGTGATTAAATGAGATTAGTTGAATGCAAGAATAGATATCTATTGCTTGTATCATTTTAATTTATACAGTGACCAATTGTGTTGATCAGTTGAGAAATTGACAAAGTTCACTTCTCTCAGTTTGTGAGATTTAAGTAGTTAATTTGTAAATTTTCAGGATTGTATTGACAAAGAGCCATTCTGTGTTTATTGGGCACAACAAGGCTACTGCCCTAGCTGGGAAATCATGCAACAACGTTGCGCCCGTGCTTGTGGATTCTGTGTACGTGTGCAGGTTCTGTAGTGCAAAAAAGTCCAGACTTTGTGAGCAGTCACCAAATTTTATGATGTTGCACTTGATTTTGTGAATTAATGATTATTTTCACCCATTTATTATCAGTCGGTCCATTTATGGGTTACTTGTCATGTCTCAGTGTAGTACAATACTCACTGCTAGTTTTCCTTCTTATAACTTGCATTACAAACTGAAAATTTTGGAGTAACAATGGAAGAAGAAATGTTTTAAAAATTTTACTTATTTTGCAAAGTAGTAAATTGCAATAAATTGGCGAAATAAATTTGCAAAAATATTGTTATTTTATAGTTGCGTAAATTTTTTGAGTTTAAATTTATCGATTCTGTATTTCTTCTACCTCATGCTAATATGCATTGTTCACTTTGCTTAAGACCAGAATTAAACTAAAATATGAAAATTTTCATTTGACTTTTGTTGAAAGGATCACGAGTAAATTGTAGAGTTTGTAATTCTCAGAACTAGTTGTCGTAAAAATAGTAAGCAGTGCAATTAAACTTCAAAAATTATCGAATGCTGTAACACAACGTGAGTGGTTTACACGTTGTTACAGCATTCGATAATTTTCACATTCAGGTTAACTAAAAGGACGAGAATAAAAGGCAGAACAATGGCTTCTATCATTAAACAATGCAAATTAATTTTGTAAAACAATTTTAAAACATTTTTGTCGCTCGAATAGGGTAACTTGTAAAACAAAAGTTGCCATCAAGATAGTTTCAACTTTTAATATAAATACCAGAAACACCTTGTGACTCAGTGTCTGATCTTTTATTAGTTGCTGTACATAGTTGAGTAATCTGAAGTTCAAATTCTAGATGAAAGCTAAGCTGAATAAAAATTGTAAAATTTATTGTATGATCGTTACACTGCTTTTGAAAATGCATTAAAAAACTGACGTGTTTTATTGCAGCAAAATAATAAATAGCATACAACGTAGTGTGCAAGAATATACAATTTTATGCAATCGATTTGAACAATTGAGAAAAGTTTTTAGCAGAATTTGAACATTACTATTGCTGAATACTTGTTAATTGGTTTGGTTTTACAATTCAGATTAAAAATTAGCATAAAATTATTTACTTTCCTTTTCACGACAACTAAATGAGATTTGAGCGAAACAGAAATGAATAATTACTTCAATTCGAATTGCATAGTTCAGATGAATGTTTTATGCAATAGAGTTTCTCATTGTACTTAAACATTTTCTGGTCAATAACTGAGAGATATTTGTAGGTTTATTGACGGAAGCAAGTAAAATTTATCTTTTTTTATCATTTGTGGACAAAATTTATTTCTTCACTGTAAAATTTATCGTAATTGATAGATGCCTTCTCAGTGCATAACAAGTTTTACTTCCTTATCAACTCATTTAAGATACTGATCTAGTGAATTGGTAGCTGGAAGAAATTTTAGGATGAGAAACTTTGTATCAAACTCTAACTCACGACTCTTCTCGGTTAAATTAGAGATCCTGACACAAAAAAAGTAAAATCCATTTTTTTATGCCACTCAAATCCATCAAAATTATGCATATGTATTTGCTGCTGGCTTGTTTTCTGCCATTTATTTATTATTTATTTATATTTATATTTTTTATTAATTTATTTATAGTGTTCATTTCCTTATAAAATGTAACAAATGCAACGTTTTCTAGTAGTAGCGAGCCTTGAAATTTGAAGGCTCTAAATCTAATCAGATTTTAATGGGATTTTATTAAAATGAAACCACTGCCCACACCTTGAACGTTCTTTTTAATTTGTCCTGTCGTAAATTTTATTACATCAATCATTGAAGAATAGGCCGTAAGATGTTCTACAACTTGAATTTAACTTGAATTTATTCTTCACCATCATTATCATCACTAATATGCCTTTCATTTAACTTTTCCCTTTTCCATTCTTTCATTTCATCCGATATTTTCTGACGGTAATCACTACTATAATGATCATCATTATCACCATCATTATTCGTTATTAATATTGTCGTTGCGGTGTGTATCATTTGTACCATACATAACATCATGCAAGTGCACAGTTACTAGTAATTTAATCTATATACTAAATATTCTACTGCTACTGTAACTATAACTGTTTTGATAGTTATAGTGGTGATAATTGTAACAATAATTCAGCTAAAAGTGTACTGATACGGATGAAAAACTGTATTATCTATGGAGAAACAGGAACAACGACAGAAAAAATACTTGATAATGTCAGTTTGGATTTTGCTGATAAATATGAATTTACTATTGATTACTGCAGATGATAATAATTTGTCATTCAATGATGTGATTGATAACAGCACTAATGTTCAGTATGTAGCTGATGAAAAATATTCTGTTCTACGGTTGCGAACTGAAAATTTCAACCAATTTTTGTATGTAAAAAAGTTGTTCGATTCATCAGTTGATCTCAAGGTAAATGATTTTAGACATTTTGTCAGATATTATTGTTTCAAATCACAATCTCAAATTATATCTACCGATGAATTGCCTTAATTTTCAGAAGTCAATATCAATTAAAGCATGGTGTCTAATGAATTCGTGCTAGACTTCTTTTTTAACCATCCTATTTCAAAAATTACTCGAGTTTGCCAATGATAAAAATGACAAGCAATAGATTGTTCAGTACAAAAATAATTTTGAAATAATGCACGATTCATGTGATGAGTATTACTTAGTTCATAAGCTCATACTCACAGTTATTTGTTAAAGCTCACTAAGATGTATACCACTAGCATTGAAATTGGGCAATAAATAAGACTAAAATGCTTCAAAATTGAAACTGAAAACATTTTGAAAAAGTTCCATAACCATCGCACAAAGCTAAGCCCGAATTCTGAAAGTTAAAAACAATGGCTTTATCACCAAATATTTATGTCTCCTGCAAAATACAAGCATCATTATAAAATAAATATTTCTGAGACATTATCCTCTACCAAGACATAACAAAGTACCAGTTTTGTATAACATGAAAAGAAAAAATTACAGACAAGATTTAAAATTGAACTACCAGATTGAATTTTCTGCATTATTTAATTAACAAGAACTCATGGTTTATTATTTTATCGTGCCTAGTTGCTTTCAGATTATCACAGATTGCTTTGAAATTTTTAGATTTTAGAATTTGGCATCGAGCTATTTCAATATAACTTTTAAATCCAATAAATAATAAACAATTTTTTAAACAATAAACAAATAATTTATGTAAATATTATGAATTGAACTAAATAATATGGCAGGTATGACGTGGCTGGTTGAAAATTAATTAATCACAATCCTGTTTATTCATTTTCGAAAAAATTAATACTTCTTTATTTACACTGAAAACTTACTAGGTTACACAGGCAATGCGATCATTTTAAAATTCATTGCTAGAAACTGGCCTTTAACTGAAAAAACTTAAAGTGGTTGATAATTAATTCCTTTTTATGACTTTAAGTAGCTAAAAATGATTATTACATTGCATTTGCTCTAAATGAAAAGAAATGATTAATTTTTAAACCAGTAAAATGACAGAATTGTGAAACGCATCTAAGAAAATCAGTTGCGATATAAAAATCAAAGTAAGAAACTAATATATATCATAGAAACATAATTCGCAGCAATGGCTTTCAAAAAAAAGACAAATTCTGATTCAATCTTCTTAAAGTGCTGTCAAAAACTCTGTCATTTCTATTAATGACTTGTATCATAGCATGAATCCAAAACGTGCTTCACATTTATGCTGGGTTCGAAGTACTAATTTTTAAAGGTCAACATCATATTTTTATTATATTTTCAACAATCTATAGCAAACATTTAAATGTTATTTTGGGTCACTTTTTCGTAATTTTTATCAGGCACCAAGATCATTTCTAGCTGTGATTTTGATTTGAAGTAGCATTCAGTGAGAATTTCATTTGAGGTCTCATTGAAATAATTGAACTAAGAATATAAATAAAATGTGATGATTAACAGACAGTAAATTCCCAGGTTAATTTTTGGAAAACAGCCAAGAATTTGAATGATGTAAGTGATGTGATGGTTCCTGCAACATCGATGAGGAAAGTACTTCGAATGTTGAATGAAGGCAATGTCAATGTGACTGTAACTATTTCTGACGTTGAAGGGTTGCGTTTTACTACATAATGGTTATTGCACTTGGCCAAAAAATAAAGAAAATCTTCAAATAATTCATTGAATATTTTTAGACTGAAAAATAGACAAACTTTTACCTAAGTGAGAGAAAAAAACCGACTCTTTTACTTGCGAAGACAAATTACTGACTGAGCTCAAAATTAAAATACCTTTTCTTTTTTGTTGGTTCATACTGAAAATCGATGTGCTACAAATTTTACAATCGGTACAAAATCGTATACAAATCGTTACTATATTCTTTCTTCATTTGAAGGTTTTTGGTTATTCTGAGGGTTCGCTGCTCATTTTAAAAAGTCACTTCTAAAAACTTTGTATTAATTTCGTAAAATTTTCCAAGTTTTCATCAGGTAGAATAATTACAGAAGTAACTTATAGTGCTTATTTCCTCTTTCCTTTCAGCGGCTTTTCGTATTTCTTAAATAAATTCCAGTTTCGATTATCTTTGCGCTCAATTGGTCTCTGAAAAATACTGAAAAAAGCACTTTTTCCTGGCAATTGAAGTAGCAGAAAGTGAATTATAGCAATTTTAAATCTCCTAACTACAAAACTAGAAAAGTCAAAGAGAGCAATCTTGATTGACAAATGGATGAAAGTAAAAATTTATGTACATAATAGTAAAAATGAACGGAGTAATGTATTCATCCAATTCACTTTCAGATTGATCATCGATCGTGAGAAAAAAACTCACTTGTTTGATCAAGAGCGTTTTCGAGATGACCCAAAATCCACTGCAGAAACTGCCAATTATAACTTTTACACGTATGGTTCATACAATCAAATGGTAGAATGGTTACGGGCACTAGCGAAAAAGTATCCTAATATTGCTCAGTTTATATCAGTGGGAAAATCACATGAAGGGCGTTCTATAGATGGCTTAGAGGTTAGCTCATACATTTGTTACCTTGATTCTGACCTTTACAAGCTTATTAAATCATAAATGCTAACAATAGATGGCGTTAAATGATGCTTATAATGTTTTTTCTTATAATGTTTTTCAGTTTTAAAACAATAAAAAGCTCTGCTAAAGATTGATAATTTCTGCACATTTTTGAATTTTCTGTTTATAACGCGCAATATTATTCTAATTTTTTGAAACCAAAAATTTTTTTTGTAAAATATTGATTTTCGTATTATAAATGAAAATATCTTTGATATCCGATAAGCTTGAATAATGAAAACAACCAGTGAATAATGAAAACAACCAGAGCAAAAGTTTAAAGGGGGTAGCAGCATATTACGTCAATATTTAATTGTCTTTTCAAATTTTCGATTCCTATGCTGATTGAATCTATTCCTTCGTTAAATTTCTTTCTAATATTGCATCAATTTTCTGTCAATCCTTGTTTGAGAAGTCCATCATAGGGGCGGTAATATCTTAACGGAAGCAATCTGGTGACGCAAATTGTTGTTTGATTAATCTCCTAGAGATCACTAAAATAACAAAATGATTTAAAAGATAAATAGTCAACCATTTTTTCCTTTAATGACCTTTTATTTTGTATCATACAAGATATTCTGGTAAAAAAATAAATTCATTCTGCATTATTTGTGTCTATCATTAGTTCTTTACACCAAGTTTAAAGGGTATTATCGGATTAAGCAAATTAATTATCTTTTATCTCGAAACAATCACAAAAAGAAAGTTATTCTTCACTAGATGAGGAACAAATGACTCTGACCTTTTTTTTGCCAAAAGAAGGATTTGGAAGTAGAAAAAATTCACCGCAGTTTTTCGGTTTGGTAGGTTCTAAATCTTAATTATTTCATTACGAATCTTGACTACTTTTAGATGAAAATTGCACTGTTTATATTTATAATTTCTGCTAAGAAAAGAGCTACAGAAACAAAAGTCATTTATCGAACAAAGAACTCTTACTTTGATATGCGAAGTTTTAGTTTGATTAAAACGCATTATTCCTGTAAATGCATCAGAAGATTACTGAATTCTCATCAATCGAAAGTATTTTCTTGCCTTAAAGTGTCTGTAGGAGTAATAAATTTACTGCTTCATAATTGTGTCTGCCATTGGCTTCTTTAATTTGAGTTTATATAGCATTCTCAGAGTAGGCAAATTTATAATTTTTTATCTCAAGACAGTCATTTTATTTTGAATTAAGTTTGCTTCCATCTGAACTTAATTCAAAATGAAATTTTTAGACTAAATTTCTAGACCACAACACCTTCATTGACATTCTGAGCGCTTCAAAAGACAACATTTCCTAGATAGGAAGCAACAATCAAAGCAAACGAGTGTTCTGGATTGATGGAGGCATTCATGCACGAGAATGGGCAGCACCTCATACAGCTTTGTACTTTATCCACCAGCTTACATCAAAGTACGCATTTGATCAACAGATTCAGAAGTATGTAAACAATCTCACTTGGGTCATTGTGCCTTGCTTGAATCCAGATGGATATGAATTCACACGCTCCTCAACCAATCCAAATGTTAGCATCGTCTTCGCTGACTTGAAAAATAGCAAGTAACAATAGAAGTAATAGTTTTGAGTAAACACTTATCCATTTGATCAGTTAATTGATCCGTGCATTTACTATACGAATAGAGCAATTTTGATATTAGCTTTGTCATATATGCATACAAATAAAGCATTTTTCTCTTATGCATTCGTATTTGTTCATTCAAAACGTAACTCTATGAAAATAAATATCCTTCAAGATGAGCAGAGATGGTACTTCAACTAAATATTCTTCTTTAGGTTCGATTGTGGCGTAAGAACCGTTCTCCAATCGTTTGCAAGAAAGATCCTTGGGGTCGCAATCGATGTTGTCGTGGTGTAGATCTGAATCGCAATTTCGACTTTCATTTTAAAGGTATCAGGAATTTCTGCTATCAGTAGTTAGTTCTATTTTCTTTCCTTTACTGCGTTATTCAGTATGCATTTATGTGCCTAATCGAATAATCGAATAATCGAATTTATCCGCTTATTTTCGCTGTTCAGTTTTTTTCCTCCTTGTTATACACATTTGTATTTGCTAGCCATTTTTTAAATATTTACAATTTGTGAATCAAGAAAGCGGATCGAGCGATGACCCATGTGCCGAGATTTATCAGGGTAAAACGGCGTTTAGCGAACCCGAAGCAAAGTAATTTTTCGCTCTATTTTTTAGTATTATCTTCAGTGCTTGAAATATGGATCAATAAAAGTCGGTAGTTTCCTTCTGCCTGTACTAATTACGTCCTCGTTACTTTGTATAATTTTACATTACAATCTCTTTCCGCTTGATTACACAGTGGCAATAGAACGCATTATTCACAGTTCACTCTATAATACTTTTGCAAGCCGGACTAGTTAAGTGAGATTCTTAAAATCAAATGAAGAAAAATACTAAAATTGTATCATATTTTACCAGATTTATGCATCTGAAATGTGATCAAGCATACATGTTAGATACGAAATACCTATCTTTTCAGAGCGGTGCGTGACGCTCTAATGTCAAATCGCTATCGTGGCCGTATTGATGCATTTGTGACGCTGCACACGTACTCGCAAATTTGGATTCATCCTTACGGTCATCGCAAAGATACTTACCCCGGAGATATACAAGATTTGGTCAGTTTCGTAAATTTTAATCGCAAAGCAACTAATTAAAAGTTACTAGATGATTAAATCAGAAAAGTGATTAAGTTTTTTATATTTTCATTAAATTTTGCTACAAAGGCTTTTGAAAGCAAATGATAACAGTTGCATGAGATGTACTCAACATGAATATAATTAATCTTCTCTATGATATACTGTACTCACAACCTTTCAACGTTTTTCACATAAACGACGTGGAAGTAATAAATCCACGACATAATAATCTTAGCAGTTTACTTTTTCGGACAAAGATACGTCATTATGCTACATTTTCCTTATCAAAATTGTTAACTGCAGTTCAGTCTTCACTCAGAAAAGCAAATTTTTCTTGATTTCCTTCATTATGAAAATGTCAAGTAATTAACTGGTGGTAGGTTCACTTGTTGATTAATACTATTTTTCATTATACATTTTCACTAAATTTATTCAAGTATGAGATCGGTAAGAAAGCAACAAATGCACTTAGCAAATTGTATGGCACGAAATATGTTGTAGGAAGTGGAGCTGATACGTTATGTAAGTCAATCCTTCAAAGCAAAAGATTCTAATTTTTGTTATGTTAGAATTATTTTCTATACTTTCAAGTTGAACTTTTTTGCTACTACGCAGTTACGTACATTACAAAAAATGTGGTATAAGCAAAGATCAACTATTTAAGGGTATTGAAAAATCGCTCATTCGTTTAGATCCGGCATCAGGTGGTTCTGAAGATTGGGCGAAACAAACAGCTGGCATTAAATATGTATATTTATTGGAACTACGACCAGATGAAAAAAGTATTTTTTGATACGTTATGTAATATAGGGAATAATGCTGATAATGCTTTCTTCTTGAACCCATTGTTATAGATTGGGACGGGTTTATTCTGGATGAAAAACAACTAATACCAACAGCTAGTGAAACCTGGGCTGGAATACGAGTAGTTGCTGATGCCGTACTGGAACGGGCCAACAGGAAAGTAACGAGCCCCGCAAATGGTACTATGAGTGTTTCAAAAATTTCCTCCCCAGTCAATACAAGAACAATCCAAAATTAGGTGTTGTGATAACGAATTGAATTTACCTCATGATTGCGACTTTGCTTACCTTCCTAATTCCGAAAATAAATCATTAATATAAAAACAGTTATTCATAAGCTAAACTACTCATAAACAAGGATAACACTATGCAGATATTTGCAAGAATGCGTACTAATTTTCAAGCATTACTTTCTGAATATTTTATGCGAACCCTTCACTTAGAATCAATACGGTTTCCATGAGTGACTCAAGGTAAGTAAACACATGCTTCAGCTCATGTGAACTTTGACTGCACATATGAACTGAATTGCAGTACATCATTCTTAAGTATTTCCATATGTTCCATTCCCCCTTCACTTTGAAAGACAAAAGTTACAACTCGCTGAAGCACTTCTATCAGCTGTAACTATCTACTAGTAAAGTGCTGAATAAAAATGAATGCCCAAAAAACAGAAACAAACTAAACCTACAGAGTAGACCAAACTTGAACTCAATCTATCGAAATTTCTGCACTAGAAATATTCCCTTCTCCAACCATGACTTAAATTTTTCCTGTACTCTCCTTTATTTACCATGAAGCCTTGCTCTTGTCAACCTTTTTTCCCAATATTTTATGACAACAATATCAACCAAAAAGTATAAAGAAGACGAGATTTGCAATTTGCAGGAACCGCCCAGCAAAAATATCGCTTTGGTGATGGTAGCAGTGGTTCATGCTATGATTTACGCCATGCGTGCAAACGATGGGTTCAGAAAAATGAATCAATTTGCCATACGGTGCCTATTTTTATGCGAGAGCAATGCGCCTATTCATGCGGTCATTGTTAACAAGACACATTCACTCTGGGCAGCGGTTTTGAGACAAAAAGTGCGAAAACTGTGCACGCATCAAGATATAAAACAACCTTGATGAAGCGAAGGAAATTGAACGAATTCATTTTCTAGCATCATATCATGAATGAAATGTCAGGAAGCATACACATAAAAACTTCAATTTATTGCAAATAAAGAAAGCCACCAATTTCCAATATATTGCTACTTTTGCAATACTTTAGCGGTTAATTTTAATTTTCTAATAGTGCAAGAAATAAGATTATCCAGTAGACAATGCTTCCAAACTGCTCGATTCCAACAATTTTGCATCCACTGAACGACAAACTGCTGATGAAACAATTTCATCGATCAGTGAAAACGCAGCTTGTTCATCTGATAGCGAACGCCACAAATTTAACTGTAAAAAATAACAGTCCACCTGAAATTAATGAAAATAAAAAAAATATTTGTAAATGTAAATATAATCAATTTAATTTGATCAGGTAAATTAATAATCAAAAGAATAAATATCTACATTATTATTCAAAAATCACTATATACGCATATAAAACTTTTATTTGCTATTTATTTGTCTTACTGATATTTATTATCTTTTGACTAAAAATTGATATACTATCAACCTGAATTTGTTGCAATCCAAATTTTGAAAATGTTTGCAGTCGAACAGTTTCAAGAAAAGATTTTAGAACAATATTTTCAATAGCTGTCAAGATGGAGATTCGATTAAACTGCAAATAAGGTCTGCTTGATAACAGAAGTAGTATAAAGAATTCAAAATCATGAATTTCTGTACAATAAAGAGTGACATGAATCATTTTGATATATCAAAGACTCTAAACATTCTTTCTACTAAAAATGCACTTCACAGAAAAAGGTGCGTGAAAAAAAAATCCCGAATTACAATATGGAATATCTAACAATTACTATAACATTGAAGAAGAAAATTACTTCCACATTTGTGCAAAAATCAATCCTTTCCGACCATAACTTTTCTAATGTAGAGCTCACTGAACCAGTATCAAAGGTTCGTCTTGAATGCGAACGCGAAGAACCGGTATCTAAGAACCGTTCTTTACGCATACCTTCACCCATCTGTAAAAATTTTGGCTTATTATCTCTACTATGCACTCTGCGACATACCTCAACTTAACGGTCATATAAAAAGCACTTATTCAACAGGTAACAATGAAAATAAAAAATTATACTACTTTAAACTGATCTTATATTCAGCTTGAGTGTAGGTCAAATCTTTTAACAGTGAAACTATTATTTTTTTCAAAGGTTAAATGCAAATGCAAAAAATACAGCGTGCTTGAGTTTGTTCGACAGATTAAATTGAGTGCTTAGATATGAGGAACTAGTTGCAACAAACTTGAGTTAAAGGAATACTATGTATTTAGAGTACATTTACACTGTACTGAATGAAGTTGACAATAAATATGCAGTACACTTTTGTTTACTTGGTTTAAGCTAAAATTAAGAAACTATCCACAAACTTCAAAATTAACATATTTAACTTAAAAATGTAGATAGTTTCATAATTTTTAAAATGAACACCAAAAAAGTAACGTGAAAGCGCTTGAAACAGCTTACAAAAGGCTTAATGACAGAATCAATTGCAGCAACATCATCAACGAATTGCTTTATACTGGACCGAACTGATGTCGGTTGCGCACAATTTAACCAGTCGCAACATTCAATGCTTTGAACCAAAACCTCAAGAATACAATTCTTGAAATCTGATAAACTTGAAATCTGGTAAAAAAAATTAAAAATATAAAGGAAAAATGAATAATCTGCTAACAGATAATATATGCATAAACGAGTAAAGACAACGGAAGCTAAGCAATATATTCAAAGACATTTCAGTCAATGGGAAAAACTGATGTCAGAAAAATTGAAAGAGGTAGACTCAAAGCAAATATTTTGGTAAAAAAATAAAAATTACACTTCTACAAAGTCCAAAATAATAAAGACTGATCGGTTAATCCATTATTTCGTTTTATAAATCTTTTTTTTTTTCAATTCTAAAATCCCTTTTTTTATTCATTACACAGAAAGATTTTTCAAGTCTTATTTTCAGTCCAATCTATATTTAGTTTCATATTCACTGATTCATAAGACTCCAGACAAAAGATCATTTTTTATTCTAAGGCCTATTAAAAAACTTCTGAGAATCACAAACCTGAGATATAGTAATTCCTTGTAGATACACAAAATGCTTCAAAAGTTCGTAGGCAGTAGTGCGTAAACGAACTCTTAATTTTTCAACTGAACAAAATTGCGAGGTTTCTTGTTTTTCTTGCTCACCTACTAACCTAAAAATGACATTAAATACTACGCAGATTTTCAATACACTGACCTAACCAATGCAGGAAATTCAATTGTCAATTAAAATAGACGAAAATTTCCAGGGTCAACAAAGCAGTTTGAACTTATTAAAAAAGCAACAAAAAAATTTTCATTTCAGTGATATTTTATATTATATGTTTAGATATAAAATATCATTGAAATGAAAATTGTTGACCCTGGAAATAGTAGTATTTCTTTCATTATGATCTGAATTTACTAGTTCCTGATAAAATTCTTAACAAAAATTAGGATTATAAAATTTATAATGCTGGGAAATGAAAAATGAAATCCAATCTCAATCATTTATTAATGTTAAATGAAAATTTTTTTCTTTGGAAAAAAACCTTTCTTCAAAATGATCAAAAACTTAATGCAAAATTTAATAACACAAACAAAACAAAATATTCAGGAAAATTTCGGACCTGAACTGTTCCTTGCATAAATCCATAATGTAAGCCACTGACTGATTTTCGACATTAATGAAAAACTGTGCTAATACAACATATATAAGAGGTGATGATGCAGAATGATTCACAGAATCACAAAACTTCAAGCCTAATTGCGATACTTCTTCCAAAGATCTAACAACTAATAATTCATGAACATTGATTCCGAAACCAAATGAAAACTGTGCTGTAAACAAAAAAGTACATTAAGTACTTCAGGATGACGAAGTAACATTTTTCTAATCTGGGCAAAGAAAAAAAAACTCATTAAAAAAATTACCCTGATCAAGTGAAGAAAATGTAACATCTGAAGCAGTAAAGAGAAGAAGAGTTGCAAGGGCAGTTTTGATTTGAACAAGAAGAGAATGCTCTAATCGTGAAATAAGTACAGTTATTGATGATGCATTCATCAAAGAATCCTTGAATGTAGTTAATTCATCCTGAACCTGAAACATAGTCTTCTTAAAATCTTCCTTTTTCCCAATTAAGATAAACTCCTAATTTTTTTCACATCTGATTCAAAATAGCTAGAATGCAAGACTATACAGAAAACCATAGAAGCAAACTTGTTTCAGAGATGAACTAAATCGTTCTATTACAAGAGTTCGTGCAAGTTCTATTTCATGCCTTGAGACAACACTGAGCATTGAAACGCACATTGGTAAATAATCCATGCCTAAAATAAACGACGAATACTCAAATGTTTCCTTCATTAAGGATCTATTCCAAAAAAACAAAAATACTTTATGTTTTATCAGTTTAAGCTCACCAGATATCAACTGATTACATGATGACATACGACGATAAAAACGATCAAGAGCCCGTACAACAATAGCACATTCTGCTGTATCTGTTTCTTTCAGAAACCGTTTTCTTACAACTTCCTCAAACTTATTCATCAGCGAATCGACTAGTTCTATTATATCATGGATAGCTTCCTAAATTAAAAATAATAAAGTCAGCATTATGAAAATCAAATTTAAAAATTGAGTCACATCCCCAAAATTCTAAGACCAAATTTCACAAACTATATGAAAAACAAACAATTTGCAATATGTTGCGATTAATGTAATAATACTAAAGCTTTCTGCTTACAAAATAAGCGCATGAAATTGTTGCGACTATTAATACTGGCTCCATAACAACACAAGTAGTGAAAATCGGGGAAAATATGCCACCTGATATGAGAAAAAACGTTGGCTTAATGCTGTGTACAATGACAAATCAGTTAAAAATGTGCTGCAACAATCATCAACAAATTCAAGAACATCCGAATCAACCTGAAAGAATCATCGTAACAACTTTTCGAAAAATTTTGTTTATAAAATTGTCCCAATGATATCCGAAAAAGTCTAACAACGTACAAATATGATTTGATACGAACTTTTTCTTCCATTTGCATCTTCGATAGCTGATCATATAAATTATTCCGACAATTCGATAAAAAGTAAGCATGAATGTCGGAAGAAGGAACATTCAACTTTAGTAGAAAAATGATTGCTTCCGACAATTTTTCCGATGAAATATTGTGACCAGAAACGATTTCTTTCAGCTGCAAAATACAAATATTACTCTCTATTTAAAGCATAACTTTTCAATTACTTCATGAAATTGATCTCATAAATTAGTAATATTCCATCGAGATTTATCAACGAGCTACAATGAACTGAACATAAAGGCAGTAAAAGACCCTCACTAATTTCTGTTTATAGTATTTAGAAAGAATACAGAAGTTTACTTACAAATCATGAATATTTTAAGAAATTTTTGAACAAAGAACCTCATTCTCGACTGCTTTCATGATAACCATTGTTTCATTATATATATCACAAATCGAGGGTATATTTTTATAGCGTGTCAGAGTTGGCTGTACTTCCTGATACAGTGTAACTACTTGTTCATAATTCTTTTCTTCAAATAAGGCCTAGGAAATAATTAATCACATACACAAGATATTTCAGAGTTTAAAGACAGAAAATGAAAACGTTGAAATGACTTACTTGTAATTTCTGAGTTAAACTTAACAAGATCAACAAGCTTTTCACTTTTTGGTTAGCACTACTCAAATGAGAGACATTTGAGCGATGCTTAGAGAATACCGCGGAAAGATCTCCAGACAGTCTAGCTATTTTATCTATTCGCAAAGATAAATTTTCCATTTTCTGAAAAAATGAACTCATGCTTGCAATAAGCAAAAAAAACAAATAAACTCAGAAGCTGATTTTACCATACATTTAAAAATTAAAAATGATGAGATCTCATATGTACTAAACAGAACTAAAAAAATTAGATAATTATATTCCAATTCATTCAGTTTACAAATTATATTTCACTCAAACACACATTTGTTGCTTTCACTCTTTATGATCGTTTCTTTTGTTACTGACTATTGACATACGTATACGTTTCATGGATTTTCTGAATTTTTGACCTACATCTTTCAATTTTTATTAGAAACAATCTTTTCCCGCAACTCATAATTACAGTAAAAATAATCTTTGGTCTTTCTGAACTGATTTAAATTTCTATATTCTGATTTTGCAAAAAGCTATCTAATTATTCAATTTTCCAGAAGAATGAGGAAAAAAGAAGTCTTCCGAGCAAAAACAATTGGAGAATGTAGAACTATTTTTTAAAAATTAAGCAAAATATATCAAACTAATTAAATTTTTAGCAATTAATTTTATGCAGAATGTATTTGAGTGTTATTTATATAGACAAAACCTTCCTGATTCAAAGTAATGACAAGTCAAACTGACGTTACTCATCTGCAAGAAATCATCCTGCATTTTTTTCATCGTACTTGTTGCTGTCAGGAACTTGTTATAATTCTCATAAACAAGTTGCTGCATTTCGGAATCAAGTCGTCTAACCTGAATTATTATTGCAAAGCACAATATAATAAAAGGATATTTTTTTCAATTGAAAATTTCCTAACACTATTTAAACAAATAGAATTTTCCAAAATTTGCAAGAGTTTAAAAATAAACTTCAAAACTCTAAAAACAGCAATCCAAACTACGCACGTTATGCACCATGTCTTCTTCAACCTCAACCAATTCATTTAAACTTTTTTTGCGCAACAAGTCTCCCATGTACGCTTCACAGTTAAAGTTGCTTGAGCAGATGTCCAATGAGTCATTTTTTAATGCTTCTTTGTCTTCCATACTTTTCTGTGTGATCCCTTAAATTGTGGACGTAAGAAGAAAATTTCGTTCTAGAAAACAGCCTTTTTCAGGTAAGAACTGCAGAAAGAAAAGAAGAAAAGCTTGCGCAAGGTGAGATTATGAACGCTGAGCTCAAATGACGTTGTTGCCCCACAATATATTGCATTCGTATTTATCTGCCAACTTTCCCATCACGACGTGATCAGGAAAAATTTTGAGGTGTGCACACTACCAGCATAATCTCACCAACGCTTAGAGTACATCCAAACAGAAAATTCGCACCGACAAGTATATAAATCAGAAATATAAGAGACTACTGATTTTACAGGTTAATTACACAAATGACTTAATTAGGCATCAATTTATGCGAACACTCTGGACCTATGACCTCACTGGTATAATTTCATAGATTACTTTCTCACTCGGTCCGTTGAATGTTGTTTGAGAGCAGTTATTCCCGTGTCAGTTCTCTTCTTCCTGTTATCTTTGTTTTATGGTTCTGAGAAAGTGTGGATGCATTGTGTCATTGTTATCTTATTTGTTTCATGTTAGGATTACCAAAATTCCTTGACTTACTTCAGATTTTGGATATAGTACCAAAAATGCTTTGCATTTCATTCGTGTAGAAATGAGAGTTTCTGTTAAATCTGGAGATGCTGCTTTCATTTTGACTAGTGCTTGAGACGTGTGTTGTTCGAAATCATTTTATCTTTTTAAGTATTTAAAATATTTTATTTAATGTCATAATAATTTCAGCTGCAAATACAATTGATAGAATTTCTGATTTTCGTTCATTAATAATCTGATCGTTATTACCTCACAAAGACTCCGCTAACGCGTTTTAAACAGATTCTTGTGAATCTTTCATCGTACTTTTCAGGATTTAATTACTGAAACATATCATTACATTTGTTAGAGTGTGTATTATCTCTCTTTGAGTCTAAACGTTTTTTCAGTTATGTCTTGATACAAATTGTGTGCTTTTTTCATGACATTCTATCATTTTGGCTATTCTAGTATTGTCATTGTTATAGAATTCGAGAATTTGCTTCCTGTTTAAATCGTTAGTAATTTCATTTCTGAAGCACAGGAAAAATTTTTAGTTGCATGATAGTATAATTGAAAAGAATGAGTTGAAAATTGTTGGAAGGAAAGTCATGAAATGGTACATTTGGGTATTTACTTTCTTGCAATGGAGTTTCATCTTATTTGTAATATTAACGTTTTAATTGCTATTAAAAGATTTAACTTTTTTATAGTGGTTTTATACACATGGCAGTGTTGTTTTCAGAATTGCATCTATGGCTGTTGACGATGGAAGTAAAGATGATAAATTTTAATGTTTATAGTTTTGCTTTAACCTTCAATGATCTGCCCATTGCATGCTTCTTCGCTGCCCACAATTTCATGAGCAATGTTTAGATTGGGATATGAGTGCCACCAGTGTTACCGCCGTCACTCAGCGCTTAGTTTCCAAACGTCAAACTTTGGACGAAGCTTATGCTCCACCTGCGAATTTCTTGGAAATAGAAGTAATCAATCCAATTACTCATGGTGTTGGCAAAACGCGTTATACTGATTATGAGATTCGATTGAGGGTAAGATATTGAATAGCTATAAGTATAGATTTGTTGTAAATAGGATTTATTTTTTTAGAAGAAAAATTTGAAAGAATATTTATTGTTTTTGTATTTTTTGATTATATTTATTTGTAAAAGTTCTTTTCCTGCTATCAAAAAAATATTTTTAACTTTTGGAATTTTACTTCTTTCTTTAGGTCTTGTGATAATTTTTGCTATTGGAAAATGATTATATTGTTCAAAATGTCTGCAATCATTTCTTGACAATTAAATACTGAAAATAAATTGACATAAAAAACTCTTTCTTATTCATTCATTCAATCCTAAGCTAATTTGCACGAAAAAACTGTTTTTTTCCAAACACTTGTAGAAATCTTAAAAAATATTATAAATTAGCCCAACAGTCCAAACATTTAGTGATACTAGTTCTTGCACGAAATCAGCAACAGTATATTTGGAAGTTCAAGTGTGTCATACTTTAAAGATTCATATCTATTAACACATGACTCGTCACTGAATTGTTAGGAAATACGATTTGGTTTCAAGAAATTATGGGTAGAATATGTTTGCAAAATAAATTCAGTTGACTTAAAACAAATGTAAGCTGACTAGTGCTAATCATAATTTCTTTCTGCACTGCTGATCAAAAACATATCAAATCCATATCATATTCTTGACCACACTAAATATTTTGTTTCATTTTAAATCTATAGCTTATTTTTGTTTGCAGACAAATCTGCCTATATTCAAGCATAAAGAATCTTTTGTTCGTCGTCGTTACTCGGACTTCGAGTGGCTTCGAGGTGAATTAGAACGGGATAGTAAAGTATGCTACTCACAGTTTTTTTTTCATACAGCATAAATTAGATGTTTTCAATACAAATCGTGTTTAGATTTAAAAAATTGTGAATAAAAACGTGTAACAAAAATATTGCAATCTTGAATAACTTCTAAATGAAATAATGAAAAGAGTAGGTTTTTAGCTTGATGTTTTAAAAAAATAACATTATTATAAAACAAAATATGGATCGCAAAGTTTCATGTGAAAAGTATTATAAAAATTTGACGTCAGTATATTACAAATTGAAGATAGTAATATCAAAGTAAAAGCGATATCACATAGAATTAGTCATTTTTTTAATCAATTGAATTCTACTGCTTATATTCAGTAAGAAATTTCATGCACTAGTTTGTCGGTAGCCGAAATATATGAGAGTTGTACACTTGTATAACAGATTTGTCTACTATATTTGAACAGTTCAGTTGAAATAAGTGGTGATACAATTTTGAAAGCTACTTGTTAAATTTCTAGTTTTAAAATATAATTGGATAGTACTTATTATTTTTCATCGTTAGATTGTTGTACCACTGCTACCCGGTAAGGCATTAAAGCGACAGTTGCCTTTTCGTTCAGATGATGGTATATTCGAAGAATCTTTTATAGAAGAAAGGAGAAAGGGATTGGAGTTATTTGTGAACAAGTAATAAATTTTTTTGATTGTTTTCTATTTGTCACTAGTCTTAATACCATGTATCACATGACTTTATAAATGGGATTTCCTTTTTTATGTTTATTTTTCTGCATGTTTTGTTTTCATCTTCTGTTAAAGTATTCAGTACTTTGTCTAATTTTCAACATTGTTTTTGAGTACTAGTATTGTTCACGTAATCCATTTATTATATGATTTTCATGCCCTCTTTTTCATAAATTATTATTCAAACTCAATCAAGATTAGATCATTCAACTTTTGAATTTGTTGGTATGCGTTTTTTTTCATGATTGTGTAAAATTGTCTTCTACATATAAATTGATGAAAAGAACTTTCATATTTCAGAGTAGCTGGACATCCACTTGCACAAAACGAACGATGCTTGCATATTTTCCTACAGGACCCAATCATTGATAAGAACTATATTCCTGGAAAAATTCGTGCGACATAAACATTCTCATATTTATTATTATGGCTGCAATAATGCTATAAAACCGTGTGCATTTCTATACCAGATCGATAGTAAAATTATCAAAAGTATTATTTTTTTCCTTTAATATGTCGAAAATTTTTAGGGCTCTCACTGAAATCATCATTAGTGATCCGCTTTTCTATATTTTTAGCCTAAATACATCTGAATTAACAGCTTTTCTGAGGTATGGTCACATCAATTGTCTCTTATACTGTTGGGCTAAATATAAGGTTTCCTGTGAATAGAGGTTCATTATGACAGGTGTGTTAGGGAATGAATACAAAGCTTGTGTCTTAATTATTTCTCAAATGTCTATAATGGAATTCAGAGTGAGTTGAGTTACGTAAGAAGTATACTCGTTTCGGGTGATGTTTATTTCATCTGCGTAGCTAGAAGCACAGAGTGAAATGCCATGTTACTAATGGAAGACATCACAACATCATGAACTTATGAATTTACATGTCCTATAAGACTTAGTTTATGATGTAATCTTGGTATTTGACATCTCTTGTACGTTCAGTCTTTTTTGAAGCTTGAAATTTCACCGATATCTTTCTTCTAATTAAAAAATAATTGCTAATGAAAACAAATTATTTTAATTCAGTGAAATATTATCTTACTGAAATTAAGTGAGCGATGTGCATAATTTGTATTTTTGTAAATTGTTGTACATGGTATATTACTCTTTTTGATTCTGAATAAGGCAAATTAGGAATATCATATTGGTCATATGAACATGAACTACTTTATTGCTGTTCTATTTTGACATTTTTTCTGCTCTATTATGCTATATTTATTTGGGTAATGAACTAACTTTTTACATCATAACTTGTGGGCCTTTTCATGTATTTACAGAATTTTGACAATAGCATCAAATTATGTCTTGTGATATTTTATCAACTGCTCTGAACTAAATACTTTCATTAGTAGTCAATTTATCGGTGTTTACACTTTAAAAACTTGAAAAATTTTTTCAGAATTAATACTAATGACAGTTATTAACCTTTTAAAATGCATTTCATGATCATTACTTCTTTATAAAAATCTCAGTTTCCAGTTCTATTTTTTGTTTTTTGTACTGCACACAACAAGTTTTACGATGACAATTATGTATATAAAAAATCTCCTGTCATGAGAAACCAAAACAGTTTTAGGTTTTCAAAAAAAAATAATATACTGTTAATTGAGAGTGTGTTTTTTCTAGCAAATGAAAGAGATAAGAAGTGTTTATGGTCGTAAATTATTTAAATTTGTCCTCTCTCGCTGGATCTTATGCATCAATATGATAAAAGTGAGAGTAATGTATATGAATGTAATGTGTGCAGTACAAAACAGTACAAGAGTTATGTCTGGAAGGATACGCATAACAGGAAGTCAGTTTGTTTGAAAGGAGCAATTTATGACGAAAAATAGGTTTGTCACTCAGATTTTGCCATATTTCTGTGTTATTTTGTTTATGCCATGCATTACTTTAGTGAATAATTATTGTGAAAAGGCATGACAGTGAATGGATTAGTACTGTATGACAGTACAAAATGAAGGAAGTGGAGTGGGAAGAGGTGAGTATTTGAGCAAGTTTTTCATGCGGTCAATTAACAATTAAGAGGCAATATTTCGGTTCCGTAAACAACACATCAGTGGGCACGTATCTACAAAACTGGCTTCTTAATCTCTATCGAACGCCGCCCTAACACAGAAATGCTTTTTTTACTTTTAGTCAGTTTAGCTAGTTTTCCCTTAAATTGCTGCAGAAAGAGATTAGACCTTGAGAACTTTACCTTGATTATAGACTAATAACAAATCGAATAACCATTGAAGTTCGTGCTATAATTCTTATTGCATACTGCAGAAGTAACAGCTTTTGGCCACTGATTATTTCTGGAAAATTTTTCAGCACTCTTCATTAAGAGTTGCTGAGAGATAGCGGCAGGTTGTGAAGTAATAATGTTCTAGTTAGTCTTAGCATAGTCTGACTTGTGGTGCTGTAGTGGCATGTCATGTCGTGAATCTGCAGTTTGACTGACCTTAAATTGTTCTTTAGTTATTTTACTGACTTTGGTAATACTCATTATGCAGCATTTTTAATATGACAACGTTAATTTTCCAATTAACGGAATGCACTAGTTATGCTATAGCTCGTAAAGTGATTGAAAAAATTTTAATCTGCAGTGATCAGTCAATGATTTTATCAATTTGATTGCAAGATAGAAATATATATGTCATCTATTTTTGACTTTATTTCCAATTTTTAATTCACAGGCAGGTCAAGTTGATTACTCTATAACGTTAGATTTTCATGATGCTTAATTACATGAATCGTAAAATTTATAACTTTTGAATTTAGTTGTTTTTTTATTTGATTTATTTTTCAGACATAGACTTGAAAGTTCAATTTTTTGCGCATGATGAACTGTATTGAACAGAAAAAAAGTGATACTCTCGACTTCTCACCTAAAACGAGGCCAAAATCACAGAGCTTTAAGGATTTTAGAGATCTTGTATTAAGAAGAAATATTCGGAAACGTTCTATGGCAATTACTGTTGATGCCAAATCCTGTGAGACTGATTTGTTCCAACTAAATTCTTCAGCTTTTCTTGGTACTCATCCAAGAACTCGTTCATTTCTCTGGGATTTCCGAAAGTTTTTTTCCAAAAATAAAACGTCTGTTGAAAGTCTTTCGACAAAATTGAAATCAGCTCAAAATATTCCAAACATTGATAAGTATTCATGTGAATCAGTAGTAGTCAAACACAGAGGAAAATCGCAATCATGGTCCCATTATGAAGCACAAAATATGCGTCAGAAATTGAAAAAAACCACGGAATTACGGGAAGTCAGGACATCATCTAATATTTATTTACCCGTTCAGCAACTGCAAAGTGATGATGATGAGTGTGTAAACGAGATTATCAGCAAAATTCCAAGACATAGAAACATGAATACTTACGAAGTACGGTCTAGGGATTGTCGCTTTCTCATTCAAAGTCATAAAGAGATGAGACGCTATATTTTCTTTATATGGATTCATTTCAGATTTAGAGCAGTATTTTATGTGATTAAGATTAAGGACGTTTTCCTTTGCTTTCTCTTGCCACCATCCTGAAACATATCCTTGAACATCTTTTATAACTGTTTGTTTAAAAAAAATCTTGAGATCTATAAAAATCCTTATTGAGATTCCATATTTAAATAATGCTCTTGATACTCAGCAGTTTTGATGACAGACATTTTTGCCAATTTTTTGAGCATTTCTTTAGGTCATAAACGAAATTAAGTACACTGATCTGGTCTCAGTAAAATCAACAAAAGCAAAAAATGATTAATTTTAGTGAAATTATTTTACGCCCCTTAACATTCTCAAATAAAGTAGCTACAAAATATTAAAGGAAGTTTCGGTGTGTACTACCGCTAAACGAGAAAGATCGAAGAAGTCAGGAACTTTCTGTAACCGTGCAGCTACATTCATAAATATAAGAAATTCACGAGGTAAAAATATAAATTTAATGTAAATTAATAATATTCAAAAAGATTTTCCAATGAATATTGGTTTCAGCAGTTTACAACTTCTTCCAAATATCATTTTCTGAATTTGCTTATTTTTTAGCTCTACAAAATTCTCAATATTGTTTTACTCGTTTGTAATTTTTACATCCCACTTTTTTGAGGCACAAATTAGTCAATTTGATTTATCAATTAAAATATTCCGAAATATATTTAGTACACAGATACTGCGCATAATAGCTTAAGGTTGATTAATTTTCTGTGAGAATTTAGAATTGTTTTAAATAGTTATAACTGTGCAATTTTGAACCATTCTGGAATAAAATTTTAATCAAACTGCACGATTGACAAATAACAGTAACAGTTTTTTAAATAGCAAATTTTCAAAGTTCAGTCACTGCTTGCCATGTAGCTACCATTAAAGCATATATAAAACATCAGTACTGAGTTTCAATCTAATCCACATAATTATTTGCGGAACTGTTTGTTTATGGAGTAGAGCAAATATTTTAAGAGTGTCTGAATTGTATGATCAAAAAATACTAAGAATGCGCTAGAAAGAATAAATGCATTTTAGGTTTGTCTCAGTCCAAAGTGAGGCGATTGGAACTGCGCAATTATTCTAGCCATCTACACTTGCATCGGACTTTTGCTTTGCTTCACAACTACAATAAATGGTCGAAACTCAAAATTCGTTTTCCCTACAAAAAAATCCATCAAATTCGTCTCATTTATTCTTGCAAAAAATATGAGGAAATTTTGGTTTGTTCTTTTGCCATTATTTATAAATCAGAAGTGTTGGATTCAATATAAGAATATTGTATACCACATGAGTAAATAGTATTAGCTGTATAACTTAGTTAACTTTCTGAAATGTGCTAGACTAAAACTATCAAGAACAGTTCTTGTATAAATATGGTCTACAATTCAAATTTCTCTGAACAAAATAGGGATCAAGTTCTAAGTGAAATAATTTCAATTGTGTGGGATTATACGAAAATACCAGAAGCACTTGATGAACTAAAATTATTTGCAACAACTGATTGAATCACTTTATGCTATTTTTTTAATATATAAGTAAGTGGCATAAATACTTATGAATGCTTTATGAAGTGAGTAACAAAATTTCATAGTTATTATATTACTAAAGAATTCTCTAAATGCTGGAGACTTTAAAAGTCCGTGAATATATTTCAAAATAATGTCTGAAATATTTAATTCTAAAAATTTTATTCTCAATCATGGATTCATGGTTTTTCAAACTTTGTTTTTGTGAATTTTCAGATCAAAACAGAACGAATGAACATCTACTTGAGCACCAGAAATCACACTTTTAAACATCTCTCTCAACTATGGCAAGCAGTTAGCACGTCCGAAAATAGCAATAAAAAGGTGGATATTTTAGTTAAGCTTAAAAGGTAGATATTTTATTAAGCTTAATTGGCACATCTTAGAGTCAGAAAGCTAGGAATTAACAAAGTCTTCAAAATTTCCAAATTTTTTGAATTTTAATGTTATTTAGCTTTATTATTTTCATTTATTCCGATTAAAATTACATCAGAAGACTAAAGATGAACCGCTATTTTTGAAAATTTTTTTCTCTGTGGAGTGTGGGATTAGAAGCACAGTCTTCAGATAAGCTTACAGAAATTCTTTTGAGAAAACATAATTAGTGCTGTATATGATACAGTTATTGTATTGATGTGATTATCACCTTAGTGAATTATTGCCTAAACACAAAACTATAAAAGTGTAAGGAAATGAAAATGTTGAGTGGTAAGTTTTAGATTATAACTGTTACTTGCTGAAACTTTAGTCAACACTTAGTAACTACATTTTCTTATTCAAAGAAGGCATATCTTGACACATTCTCAGCAAAAGTGTCCGTAATGCGTTTGTTCCTAATATTCATAATCAGTTCAGCTCGCTCTTCTGGAAATATATTATCCAATCATTCGTTCATTGTCGATATTTCCATAAATTAATCATTTTTATTCTTGACAACTTTATATGATTACAACTCTTGAAAATGCAAACAAAGTTCTGATTTTCGATATCTTTGTTAACGCAGCCAAATTTAGAATCATCTCAGTTTACTGCTAAAAGAATCTAACTTTGCTTGCAGTATACGAACCAAAAAAAACTTGAATTCTTTCATAAAAACCATTTCTGAAGACTGCGAGAACCAAAAAAGAACCATTCATTTTTCTGTTATCATTTTTTACTACGTTTACAGAAAATGTTAACGTTATGTAATCACAAAAATATAATGGCGATTTTGAGATTTTCTTTTGATTATTATTCGTTAGGCTTTTAAGTAAATTGTCGTTTAAACTTCTTCAAATCACAAAGAAACTTTTAGTACTTACATTCAAAAAAAGTTGAACAAAACAGTTCTGAAAATAGCATTTTGATGAGAATAGAAATAATTGGACAGTAAAAGAATAAAAACAGTAAAAACATTGCAGCCTGTTGTGATATAGAGTGAAAGTTTTCTTTTTGCACTTCTGAACAACGAAACAACAATAAAACATCGCGAAAGAAGAATGAATAGTAACAGATAAAATGAGGTTAAGGGGTGACTAAACTGTTTCGCACTTTAAACAAGTCAGACAGAAATTCATTTCTAAATTATATTTTTGTGATTACATCACGTTAAAATTTACCGTAAACTTGATAAGTTACTTTTTGTATTTTTTTAACGTTTTGGCAAAACGTTTGGTAGTTATTTTCTATAAATTAGTTCAAATACTTTTGATGACTTTTCTACTCTTCCAAATATGACTCCAAGTCCTGAATAGGCATGCATACGTGAGAATGGTTCATGCCAGAATGTTTGATTGCAGCAACTATTCTCTTCCTCACTCGTTTCCTCATCACTGTTCTTATAATTTAATGAAATTAATTTTAATTTAAGTTGTAAAGTGCAGAATCTGTTGTGATTTTTAAAAATTTTGAACAATTTCTTGTTTGATGAAGTGTGCGTCATAAGCGGTACTGTTCACTACTCTCTTTTGAAATGAAACACGTTGCTTAGAAAGGTCTCATTCTGATCAAAAACAAACATTCTGTACTAAATTCTTAATTAAGTGCCACTTATTTATAAATATATTTGTTGGAAAAAATTTTTTAAATGATACATCATGAAACATGTTGTAAATTTTTAAATCATATGTATTTCATGCGTAATGTGCATGATTTTAGAAAGTTCAAATATGAAATATATACTGTGAATGAAAAGAATAGTCAGAATAAAGCTAAATACTTGCTCAATAACTACTTTATAAAGTCACGTCACATCTGACGTCTATCATTATAAATAAGCACGTATGCTGATTATAAATTGTTAATATTTATCAGTAACTATGCACAAATTACAGATATTCTCTAATTTGAGCAAGTTTACTCTAATTTATTCATTAATCGAACTGCTCCATCACTTAACGCATTTTAAATAGAATCGTTTAGAAATTTTTTGCGCTAGGAACTGCAAAACTAAATTTATTATCATTAGAAATCACTAATTTCATAAATAATTGAAAAAAAAGTATGTGTGTGATAGGTGTAAGTTCGTTTACTACGTCTGTGACGTATAAATAGAAGTAAGAGATGGCAAAGAAAGCATTTTGAGCTCACAATCATTTAAATGGCGTCATTTTCTGCAGACTTCAAACTAACTGATACTTCAGCACTTGAAATTTCTTTCCTTATTAAGTTAGCTGACCAATATTATTTACTTATTCATGCATACTTTATCTTTATTGAATTGTTAAAGGATAACTTTTTATCTATAAAGTGATTTGATATCAATAAAGAAAGCATTGATGAAACGCTAGTAATCATCATGCATTTTTCTAAGCACAGCAGATATTGGCCATATTGAAGGAACCTAGAGTTTTTTGCAAGACAAATCAATGAGATTGAAAGGCATTTTTCTGTTTATGCACTGACTGCTTTGCCTAAAGGCCTTTAAAGAAATTTTTTCAATTAATAAATAGCAAAATTGAGGCTTTAAGCTTTTTAGCTAACTCTGCGGCGATTTGAATAAAATCCTACAACGAAAGAAATTTCTTCAGATTTCGGTGTTATCTCTTTCACTTCTCTCCTTATTCTTTTTTTATTAGAAGCACTCAGAGACTAGGCTAATATTTCGGCTATGCCATTGTAACTATTGCTTGCGAGATGCATGGCTTAGCTGACTTAATAGGTCAATTTTCGGAGGTCACAACATTTTACAGTACTTTTAAATTGATATTGAAGAGGAAAATCTTTACTGAATTAGTCTTTCTACTGAGTAAATAAAAGTGCTTATTCAAAATAAAATTGATTTTGTAGACTAAAAGAGAAATTAAGATTCTGCTCTTGAAAATTTGGAGGTTAGATGTTCAGAAATTTATTAAATATTACCTCTCGAGTTTATATTGTAGAATAAAAGTGATGATCTGCGTAAGCAACACAGCAGTGTTCGGAGAAGGAAACATTGCTTGGGAATTACAAGAACTCAGTCTATGAACATAATCAATCCGTCATTATCTACATTGTTAGTTTTTTATTATATATAATTAAAACTTTGAATTTCAGACGAGCTTTTTTGAGATAAGGTTACAAATTTAAAGAAATTATGGAATGAACGATCTTCATTATCTTCTGTTCATGGAGTATTAGCAATCAAATATTTGATTATGACTAATTTAGCATACGAATAAAATACTTTTGAATACCAAGAAATTAATGATGGCATTGTAGGCATTGCATATAAAAATGTATCAGTTGCTTCTAAAGTTATTACAGAAATATACAGAACTGCTTTTTCGTCAAGCTTTCTGGCATTTTGGATACGAATAATGATTAATTAATTGAATCATTTCATTAAATTAATTAAGATAAGTTAGCATTCAAATTTTGACTTTGAAAAAGTTCTGGGTGTTTAGCAAATTAAAGAAAAATCTTGCAAACAAGTTTATGAGAAATGTCTTATAGCTTGCCAGAAGCAATGCTTGCATCACCATCATCATTAAAGTCACCAACATCATCTTTGTCTGCACCAAATCCGAAAACGTCAATAGAGAGTTCGAGTTCCATTAATGAATGCCATGCTAAGGATGCATGTGATAATGCTGACTCTATGAATTGTGAGTTTCACTTTTTGTATTCTCATTCAACTTTTTGTGAAGTTTCGTGTTTAGTAAATATTGTCTGGTAAGAATTTTCTTTAACTACCAGAATCACGAATTTGTCGATTCGTTTTCAGAGATAAATTGCTGCGACTGTTGTTCTCTTATGATGTTTTCCAAAATTAGAAATTGTTAGTTGAGAACTGATTTTGTGTACTGCTTAAAATGAAAAGAGGTTTCAGATGCAACAGTTGTATGTCAATGCCAGTCTCATCTAGGCCGAGTTCTGCTAAACAAGATATATCCCTTTACAACTGAAAAGATATTTACGATGCTCTTCTCTTCAGTACCGTGGTATCATCATCTGCAGAATACTGTTCGTAAGACAGGTAAGCCTTTGCACGATCACTCTAGAGAAAACTTAGCACAGAAGAAAGCTTTTAGTTTCTTGACATGCGATTTTACAAATGTCATATTATCCATAAAGTGATGATTGAACTCATTCCAAAGGTTCTTTTATTTCAGCTCATGGGAAAATGCTAAATGCTGTGACTGGTGAGTATTTTTTATTTGTTTATGATTTCAGACTGATTAATATTAAGCTCGTGCCATCACTATTGATAAAAACGTTTGTTTTGACTTAGTGTTTTTTCCTTGCATCCAATTTTAAACGTTCAATTGTGTAGAATACGTAACAACGTCTTGGTTGTTAATTGAACCTGCTCTCACAACGCGTACAGCAACTTATATTATGGCACTGAATAATGCAATAGGTCCAAAGAGTACGTCAGTCACCGAAAAACAAGTTACTTTTTGTCTTTTTCTTTATTACTTCAGTAGATCTCATTTGAATGGATTTACTTTCATTTTAAATTTCAAAAGTTGCAGTAAAATTGCATTGTGAATTAGTAGTAGTCCTTATATAACTGTTTTTTTTTTTCGCGTTTACCCATCAGAAGAATTCAAAAAACACGAATTATCATTTGAAAAAAAAAGATTAATCATTGCAACTTCAGACGTGCTCGGAATTCGGTAATGTAAATGATGGATTCACCGTAATAAAAGAGATTCAAAATGCGGGTATCCCTTGCGCTGATAGTTTTACTGTTCGCTGTACTTACTGCATAATTCGAGTAGATGGCAGCCACTGCCGAATTCTGGTGCACGGAGCTATCATGTATAACAAGAGCATGTGGAGCATTGTAAGAGGTTAGAAGTCGTTTTGGAAACTTTATTTAAACCTTCTTATTTCTGCTTAATCATTCTTTATTATGTATTTTTTACCATCATAAATTCTGTTGTTATTTGTCGTTCGACAAGACTGTTCGCTGTATGGTTTATCGATGTTGTTTACTTGTATGTTTGAACTAGGTAGGAAAAATACCAAAAATGCTGAAATTTTATGAATGCATATAATTTCAGGTCTAATAGAAAAAAGTACATATGATGGCCTGGAAAGCCATTATGCAGCCCTTGATGAGACTTTGACGTTATTGAGTCACGCTGAAAAGCCGAAAGGTAATGATGAAGCACTAATAACGAAGTGTGAGACAAAGGTCAGAGGCAAAGTGCTAAATGGGTACGCAAATATCGATATTTCTACTTTGTCATGCAAAGTTTTGCAAGTCTCTAAAGATAGTAGATGAAAAATCTCTGGAAATATATTCTAGAAACTTCAATCATTATAACTGATCATTATCTACTAGATTCGACGTAATTTTTAAACAGTTTGTCATGTTTAATAAATCTGCTAATATTTTTCCTCACAGTGTTTTCGCTTTATTATTGCGATTAGCCCTACTTTGTTAGAACATTAAATTCATTAACATCTTTTACTGCAAAATTAAACCTTTTGCAAAAGATTTTTTCAGTTAAGGGAAAAATTAATCAATAAAAAATCTTGGACTCTTAAAGGCATATATAAATATATATATATATTTCTATAAAAATTAATCAATAAAAAATCTTGGACTCTTAAAGGCATATATAAAT